CTAAGTACTCTGTGGACCGTTTATTTCTCAATCTATCTCCTCCTGTCCCCGAAAGAGAAAATGAGAAAGAGAAAAAAGAAAACCCGCTGGTACAGTAGGTACCTGGGTTGAGCCGAGGAAGACGCTCTTCTTTGCCCGGGAATCCCTTAGAGGGGCCGTCGCTGGTGTTCAATGTGGAGGTCAGGCAACGAGTAAAAAAAAAATCTTGACGGGTTAACAACACCACATGCCATTGTCCACTTATGTCCATCAGCAAAACAAAACAAGCATTATCATCATCATCATCGTCATCGTCATCGTCATGGCCTTGTGGGAGGAGGGGGGTGGGCGGGTACGTGCATAGGGCTGAGCAGCCAAGAAAAACGGATGAACAACCCTCAAGCTCAAGCTCAACTTCAACCTCAACACCCGCGTACCACAGCCGCGGACAATGTTTATCTACTTATTTATTTTGTTGAGAATGAAACTCTTCGATGCAACTCTAGAGGGAAATCCAAGAAATTGCAGATGCGTACGTCGTAGTAGTAGGAGTAGTTAGCACAGAGTAGCAGTAGCAGTAGTAGCAGTAGCAGTAGTAGCAGTAGCAGTAGTAGCAGTAGTAGTAGTAGTAGTACTAGTAGTAACTCGTGAGTGCTGAGTACTCGGTGCTTTGGACCAATCAATGAGCATCTGGCCTAAGATCAGAAAATCAGATAAGATAATCAATCGTGATTCGCCGTTGCTGTCAATCAGGCCACAGGGGGGGGGGAAGGGTCTACGAGCGATTCAACTCCGGGGGAAGCCCGAGGGATCTCCCAAGGTTGGTTTGGAAGCGTAGATCACGCCATTCTTCCCTGGCACCTCGACAGGAGACTTCCCATGTTTGCTCTTGAAGGATCAAAACCAGGGTTTGGTGAGAAGCAGAACCTGAAATCGGGGTTCCCCCAAGTCAGCCTTGTCACGGGGGTGGTGGTGGTGGTGGTGGGGGTTGGTCTGCTTTTCGCCGCGGCACCGATTTCACAAACCGACAGACCGACAGCCAAGAGATACAAAGTTCCAACCTGGGCATCCTCTCAAAACAACGGTAATGAGCATTCGACTAGTTTCCAAATCTGAGCCGGAGAGCGTCAACTTTTCCCCTTTCCATGGAATCGCCGACTCGGAGCGGCCGTTAGGAGCTTGCACTAACCGCGCCACGACCCATGGGGCTGACCGAGGCCAGGGCCAACCACAGCGCGCGCCCTCGGTCAAGCCCGATCAGCCCCCCATTCCCTCGGATCCGAGATTACCTAGGTAGCCTGTATCCACATCGTGCCGCGCCAAGGCCCGCATGGATCAGGGCCGATACGATAGGGCTACCGGAGGGCGGTCAGGCGGGTTTGGCCAATCAGCGACGGCCTATTGTCACCAAAGCCGATGCCGCGCTAGACCGTATTGGGATGCCGCCAGGGGTCTTCCGGGCAGAAAGGCGGAGGCAGAAATGAAAGGGGGGAAATCGGTGCCGTGGTTCGTCCGTTCACCAGCGTCATCAACGTCAACGTCGTCGTTGGGGTCGTTGTTCTTTGGGGATCCCAACACTCGATGATCCACTAGCTGGGCCCTGCGAGGGTTGCGAGGGTTGAATAATTGTATTGTTGTTGTTGTTGTTGTTGTCGTCGTTCCTGCTGTTCCTGCTGTTCCTGTTGCAAAAAACCTGGTTCAATGTATATTCCGAACAGATTACAGTGTCATATATCGTATGGAATTGACCATTACCGCCATCCCACGTTGACGAAGTTCCTGGTTCTCTCCCCTCCTTCCCTCCAGGAAGCTTCCACATTTCGGGATCGCCCTCTTCCTGCATCAAGCAATTGCTGAAATTCCGTTTTTCCCTGACCCGTGTTGCAAGTGGCAGCGTCCATGGATGTTTCCCTTGGCTCGCAAAACCGCAGAAAGCCCACTAGGGACCACCGAGGCTTTTTTTTCGTGATGGACAAGTTTCGGCACCCTGGGCAGGCCACTATTATTGCTGCTGCTGCTGCTGCTGCTGCTGATGATGATGATGATGATCGGGATTACTACCATGTTGGTGGCTAGTACGAGCGCACCTTTGCCGTCCATGCGTATACACTCTCCAAACATTCTCTCTCCAACCCCCATTATTTTCCGAGGGGAGTGTGGAAGAAGGTTTCGTTTTTCTCTCTCTCTCTCTATCTACGCGAAATTGTCTCCGGGAATACTACTAGTACCTATCTTTTGAATGCTTGCGGGAAGAGAAACGCATATTTCCTCTCTGGAACCCCCTTGTAGGCTTCTCGTAATCCCAATGCGACGGTTTTGCCATTTGGCGCGCTTGTAGTCCGTAGTCCTCAAATACGGCATACAATACTAATAACCCTTGAAAAAAGGGGAAAAAAGGAAAAAAAAAAGGAAAAGAAAAAACCCTCCATGTCCCCGCCGGGCGAACAACCAAGTGGAGGTGGTGAACTGTTCAGAAGCGGCAATAGCGCATGATTACCAACTAGTAGTAGTTTATTGTCAAGTATTCAACTCGATATGCAGGGTTGATCTGTGCTAGCTAAGCTTGGGGTTTGATTTTTGGGAGGGGGGGAGTAACGGCTAGAGAGGAGGAGTTTCTTTTGTTTGTCTTTTTTAAATACGATACGTTCTTCTCTATTCATGTTTTTTTTTGCAAGCATACATACCGGTGCTCGTGAGGTGACTTCTCAATACGAAATATTCTGATCGAACGTGTTGCAGAGAAACTTCCAAACCCGCCTACGTTCCTCGCTGTCAGTTTCCACTGCCATCGGCTTGCCCGCCCGTTCGGAGGCGTTTTAAGAGACCCGAATAACCAACGTGGATACGCGGCAGCGTGCAGCATGCATTTTTCAGCCGCGAAGACCGCTAGACAATGGAACGAACGCGACTGGCCGTTTCCTTTCCTTCCTTCTTTCTTTCTTTCTTTCTTTTTTTTTTTTTCGGCCCTTTTTCTCTGCTATATCAAAGCTGTCTGTCAATCTATCTGCCTTGCCGCCCATGGACCAGCCACACCCAAGGCCTGGAGACAAATCATGTTGCGAGAATTGGTGGTAGCACGAGGGTCCTCCCTTTTCATCGAGACGAAGGCTGCGTGTGGGATCACGTCCTTGGAGCGGTGAACTGAAATGTGGAGTTAGGATTTGGTGTTTGTCCAAATGAGAGGCTCCTCCCATCCTTGGACTCCGATCATTCAGAACCTTTTCCTTCCGCTGAGGGTCTGTTTCTAAGTGGCTAGCACGATACAGAACATGGTGCTGAACCTACCTTTGGGCGTACACAACGGACAATCCCTCTGACTGCTGGCTTGACAGGGGTGACTAAACAGGGTGCTAGGAATGCCCTTGGCTAAAAATTTCAATCACCGGGCTCCTTGAGAGAAGCCTGGCAACAAATGGTATCGCCCGAGCCAGGGTTTCGGTGGATGATACCTACCATTGTGGGAGGAGAGAGAAATGCGATTCCATAGCTTTGAATTTAGGAGGGGTCATCAACAAGCTGAACTTAGAAACTTTCGGACCAGTCGATAAATATGATTAATAATTAAGAATCGCTGGTGAATGAAGTGGGAAACAATCCGGATCTGATTGCGATATGCCTAGGCAGAGGTCAGGTATGGCAAAAGGGTGAATTGGTTCCGGCAGTTGTCGGTAGGTGTTCCCATATAATTTCCGATTCTGGTCACGCGATTCTTCCAGATTGATTGACTCCACGGTGATCATGGAGTACATAGTAAGCTGCTAGTTGAATTCTTCAGAGAAGGGTAGCAGGGGCCCCATGGGATTCCATGATCGTCAAAAGGAAGAAACTGTGAGGCCTGACTAAATGGGGATACCTCCGCAATACGATAGGGCTGGCCACAGGGGCTTGATGGAAATGGAGGACGTGCATGAATAACGGCCTGCAGGGGCCAATTTGTCAGAAAACCGGAAACACCCAGGCATCAGAGTCAGCATTATTTCAATGCTATGTATGGCCTATAACAAGCTTCCCAACAAATGTCAGGGTAGGTCCTCTGGTCCGGCAATTTTGCTTTGTCCCCATGATTTGGAAATCGGGGGATGAAATAATTAGGTTACCCAACAAGTCAGCAGAACAAGAGGTGATTTTTCTTGGGGATCATTTGTTTAGTCGTAGTTCATTCCCAACATAATGATGAGGTAGTATTCCGGAGAGGCCCCACAGTGTTGGTCATCCTGCTTTCATATGGTCCAGCATCGCAATGTTCATTTAGTCTTCCAAAGCTCGAATATCAACAGTGATGAGATCCGAAGAAACGTTCGCTTTCCATTACTTATGTCCGAATGCAACAATATGTCCCAACAGCTGAATGTCGATTGGCAAAGGCGAATAATCCCCCCAATAAAGGGTAAACATTAGGTTATTCTTTTTTCAATATCCCGGATACCAAAGGCAGAGCTCAGAATTGAGCTACTGATACTAGTATGCGTCGAAGATCAGTGGGGATCAACGGTTCTGTCTCGTAGCATAAGGGTCCATGCCTTTGCTAAGCCTCGTTATTGCGCATAGCCGCGGTTGCTATTATTAAAATAAAAGATGTTCCCTAAAAATAGAGACAACACCATGCCGCTACGGCCGGATACCAAAGCGTTGGTCGTCTTTCTGGCCATGGTGAATGTGTGCATATCAGTAGAGAGTAGCGAGCTTAAGGCGAGTGTTGGGGAACGAATATCTTTCGTTTTTTCCCCTTGAGAATTAGATACAAATGCTTTTCGCAGGCCGACTCTTTGAGAGTTGTTGACCCTATCTGCGGTTTATATCTTGGGGAGTGAATGGTTTGGAGGCGCTAAACACGCGTCAACACTCGACTATTGGTTTGAATACTACGCGGCGTAGTGGTTGTATAGCAATTATTGTAACTCATTGCTTATGAATCGAGGGATCATTTGGAAAAAGAGTGTGAACGTGAAAGAAGCATGAAATGAACAATGCAGATGGTTGGTTGGTAACGTTTTACATTTCAAGTTGTGTTTGAAGTTTGTCATTTGTTGTAGGTTCCTTTTCGCCGCCAAGCACACGCCACCTCCTGCATCTTGACTACCTCTTCTGTAAATCTACAAGACAGCTCAACAGCTTTATTTTCTAAACGCCATAAACACATGTCATGTCTGTACTTTACAATTCGTAGCACTTGCACATACTTTCCATCAACACACGGCATGTTCTCTGGAATCACAGAGAACCTTCCAGCGCTTGTCGCAAGACGGTTCGCTGCAGCCAAACAGTCTGGGGCCTTAGTCTTCTCACAAACCGAGGTCACGACAATATCGGCCTCAGATACACCAGTAAGTCATTGTATCTCTTCCAGATTTGGCGGCGCTGCTAGGCCCAGTGGGACGTTTGTTAATTGTTGGCACCATACCAGTTCCAACTTAGATACTGTCCAGCTCTCGCAAGGAAGCCAAACAATAACATACCCCAAGATCTTGAGCGAAAACAGTCGGTCACAAAGCGAGATCCGTTCCACGATCCTCCTGAAGATCTTCTCATCACCGAATTTCCGCAGTCCGATCCCTCCCATATATTGGTCCTGAATAAATTCCCTGTCATATCAGATCATTTTATACTTGCAACCAAAGCGTATAAACCTCAGACCGATCTGCTAGAGAAAGAGGATCTCCAAGCCGCATTTGAATGTCTGAAAGCATGGCAGACGCATGGGAGGCCAGCGGGGTCGAAACGCCTCTTTGCATTTTTCAACTGCGGGGAACATAGTGGTGCTAGTCAACCCCACAGACACCTACAATTTTTACCCGTGGAAAGAATGGCCCAACCCGATGATGGAAGCTGGAAGCCATTAATTGATGGGAATAGTTCCTCTGCATCAAGGAACTTCGATCACCCAAACTCCTTTGGCTTGCCATTCGCGTGCTATGCGGTCGATCTACCGCCAGAACCATCCGAAGATGAACTGCACCGATCATACCTGCGATTATACGGAATGGCCCTGAAGGCTGCGCAGGGATCCTCAGACCCTCGGTTAGATTCCATGGACCCGGAGAAGCTGAAAACCAACGGGCCGAGTGCTATTAGCTATAATTTAGCCATGACTACATCGCGGATGATGATATGCCCTCGAAGGAGCGAGTTTGCATGGTTACCAATAGATCCTAAGCATCGAAATGATACTCTAGAAGCTGGCCTGGTTAAGCTCAACGGTACTATATTAGCGGGAACGTTGATGGTAAAAACAGCCGCTGAATGGGATGTTCTGAGAAACCAACCTGATATCTTGGAATCCGTATTGGAGGCGATTGGGTTTCCATATCCAGATCCAAATGCCAGGATGTGACACATAAACGCGGTGTTAGCCATCCGTGCCACGGATACGTTTTGTATTCGTATAAGGCAATACACTATATCATGCTAGATTGCAACACACCACACACCAAAGACAACTTGAAGGGCGATTTTGATATCGATCTAGTCCTTTTGTGAACAGGTATTGATCGTATTGAGCTGGGGTTTGGGGAAATGGAATGGCGAGCTTGTCAAGGCTTGGCTGGCAAGTTTTGTCCTAATTAAGATGAGTTCTATTCACTGGATTATATATATATATATGTGTGTGTGTGTGTATGGGGGGTGGATTAATGCATTTATGAGGTGCGTATGCGGTTTCCTTTACCCGGGTATCATTACTATCCTGAGCTCAACTGAAGTGATGTCCTGGCCGTAGTGCTATAAGATTTTGCTGAATTTGCTCCCATTTCTTCTTACAAGTTGCATTGCCAAAATGGTATGACCCTCCATTCATCCATATATATTCGCCCACTTGCTTCCACGATATTTTGGGAGACTTGATGTCCTCTCCTGTGCCATTTTGTACCGGGTTGGCAAACTTCCTCACGGCTTCACAAAGAAGCCGTACCTGATAAGCAGCACATCTTTGTTAGTACTACTGATACGTTAAAAAAAAACGACAAGGGGGATATACTCACATCTTTCTCCTGCCATCTTGGCTTCCTTACCCGCTGCTCCTTTCGTTTCGTTAGTGTTCTGAATCTTCCTCTTAGTGTTGACTCGGCCTCGGAGAAGTTTCCTTTTTCTTTGATTTCCTTATACGACATTCCCGCACGCTTGCATTGGATCAGGTATTCGTCCTTTTCGCTGGTACGCTGGGTGCCGATAATTGCCCCTCTCAGCGTTTCACAGGTTTTTATCTTTCGGGGCCTCCCTGGTTGTTTTATAGTTGTCGTGTTCGGCTCGAAAGGCCCAATGCCAGCCAATTGACCCTGCCATTCTGACAACTTTTCACAACTGGGATTTTGATCGATATATCCCATCGCCACGTTCATATCATGGAAGTCTGGAGAATCGAAACTGACCGGCTCGTGAAGCGTGTCCGGAGTGAAACAGGTGGAGAACGAAGATTCCGGGCTGCATTGGTAGCCTAGAGACGTTGTGGGCAACTCATTCCAGCCATCCTGTGTGATTGGCAAGTTGATCTGGGTAATCAAAGATGGAGAAATATCATTATTCACGTCATCAGGCCATCGCTGTGGTTGCTGAATGGAGTTTTGCACCCCATGCCACGAGTTTGCCGCATCCTTTGTGAAGTCTGGAACATTCTCTCTGCTACCCGTTTGCTCTGGCCATTCGGCGATTGTCGGAAATGCCGATTCGATATTCGTATCTGAAGTGCTCGATATGGGCATGCATGCCATTCTATTCGTGGATTCCGCCCATCCCGGCTGAGGGTATCCTTGTTGATGAGACGTGCCATTCACATACGTGCTCCTCGCCTCCTTGGGCCCGTCCCAGTTACTTCCACAGCTTTTGAACGCGTTCTTTTGGGTCTGCAGCCTTGGGACATAATTCTGGACTTCAGCCGTCCCCATAGACGGGTAGAGTGAACCTGTCAGAGCGCGACCCAGGTTGGATCTTGGTAGAGATTGCGCTACTGCTGGGATTGTCGAATTATTGTTTCTCTGGCTGTTAGGTGGTGTTGTTGCAATGAAGGACTGGGGTGCTTGGCTTCCTGGCCCAGATCCCGCTAGGCTCGCCCGTGCAGTGCTCGTATCCGCTGTGATTATGGGTGCTGGGAGGCAGTCAAAATGAGCTTCAGCATCGTCAGGGCCTCCACGTCGCTGTTGGTTTTGCGGTCTAATGGATTCTCTGTCATCGAATTTACATTCTGCGAATTTGAAGCCGCCTGCCATTGCATATCTGGAATTCGAAGCTTCAAGCTTGCCGGTCGAGTTCAAAAACTGGCTGGGATGGCCATGATTTGGTTGCTGCTGCAGACCATATGAAGGTACTTTTCCATACCATGCACCTTGCGTCGTCGAGAAGGTTGATATCGGGGATTGTTTCGGTATATGTACTTGGCCGGGTGTAATGGATGTCTCTCGATGAGCCCATCGTCGGGGCAAAGCCATCTCTCTAAACAGACTATTCGAACGAGATTGCTATCCCCTCTCAGTACTGAGGCACCTGGAACGGATATTGCGCAAACAGTTTCAGCTCTGATCCTCTGTCAAAAGAGGGAGAAAGTCGTTTGTCTGATGACAACTTCGACAATTCTTTAAGAATGTGACCTTTGTTGAATGGAACCAAAGCGAATTCTGGATACTTTCGACAGATTGCTGTGGAGCTAGCTGAAGCTTCATAGAAGGGGGATGTGTCCAGCGAGATACCGGTACGGATTCTGATAAACAAGCAATCCTCTTAACTGGAAGATTGTAATATTGGTTTATTAGCATTCAGTTGCGTTTGAATATGGCATGCTTGGTGGACCATGGAAGCTTACCCAAAGCTTCCTCAATTATCAGGTCAGCAGGGAGCGCTCAGGGCTTCATCTGTTATCATTCTATTCGAGTAGCGTTTGAGTCTTGGGTTCCCCAGAATGTAATACTCAAAACAATATCCCAAGTCCAATATGGAGAATCAGTATGGCAAAGGAATGGGAGAAGTAGATTCTAGTTTCTAGGCGACGGTGACCTCATTAAATGACTTTAGATTCTACGGTCTATCGCGGAGATTTACAACTATATTGACCGTTAAAACTTTCTTTCGCAAACTTCCTCGCGCCGGCATGTGGCACTTGCAGCTGAGACGACTTGACCCAATTTTCTCCTCAGTTTCGAAAACATGGAAAGCCGTTGAGCGGCCACGACCACTGGATCACGTTCCCCGGTTTGCCCTGGAGGTTAATCCTAACTGCTTTGTTTGGGCCAGGGAAGCAAACAGTACACGATGGATCGACCCGACTCGCCAGAATAGATGCCACCCCATTCTCAAATTCGAATTAAGGGAGTAATAAACGAGGAATGTGTCCCCAGTGATGAACTAGTACGAGGCCCCTTACATATATAGCGGCTACTCACATACGCCCATTGCACACATTTGTTAGGGTTCGATGATGCTAAATGCAAGCCATCGTTGCGGGCAACTCTCTAGAACTTTCGAGGAACATGCCATGGCCTTCGATGCTGCAACTTCGGTCATGCGTGTGCGGAGACCGTCTGCTTCCCTAAGGACGAGCCTCCACGCGAAAAATGACACATCAGTTAAGCTTATTAACCTTAGTTCTGCAGCAACCGCCAGCATTATGGCATGACTGGTAGCGTGTCCAACAAACTTTGGCATCCCGCGATCTAAGCGCCACATACCTTGTAGATCGTGTTGTCACATCTTGCCCGACGGTCTACTCTCGCAATGCTGCCGGCGGTCGGGGACAAGCCGCGTTTCAGGTCCAAGGCTTTCTGAGCACACTTCCTCCTTGGAGGCATGACTTCTTGCAACCGTTTCTGCACTCGCTGCTCGGAAGCCCAGCAGCAGATGGTCCTAGCATTTATTGACCTGTGATGCTCCGGAACATCGACTCTTGTGTAATCAGGAAATGCGCTCTCTTTCAGCGTTGTCCTGTCCCCGAGCGTGCTCCAGCGTTCACATCTGCTGGCTGCAGTCCAGAGCAAAGCGCTGATCAACCTTTAGGGCTGCTTTTTTTTTTTTTTTTTTTTTTTCGCCATGTTTGCTCGTGGCACCTTGTGGCTGTGCTGATTAATTGACTGCCGCCGTTGCCTCACGGTTTTGTTTCTTTTTCTTGTTTTTTTTTCTTTTTCTTCTTGCTTTTTTCTTCCTTATTGCTGTTTTATGTCAAGCGGACCGCTTAGGCTAAGGCTGTGAAATTATTAGCCTTTGGTCCCTGTGCAGAATCTAGATCAGTCCTTGTCTCGTGCTCTTCCCGTTCTTTCTGATCACTGCGGGCCCTTTCCGTGTGGTGTGGAGTAATGGTCGGGTGTGATTGGGGATGCACCTCTGGTCCGGATGAGTAAGTGAGATGGTTTTCATTTTACCGTGGTTCTTAGCAGTGCCCCAATGATACGTATGTTTTTAGGAGAGACTTAATAGGTGCTTTGAATAGCATCTATAAATGAATTTTAAGTGTCTTTGCCATCCCGCAAGTCCTATTCGATTTCCACAATCCCAGTTTACTAACTACTATAGTGGTACGAGGAATGAACTTTGGAACAGGGCTCTGTAAAAGTGGCTGTTTCCCTCTACTTTTTTTTTATTTTTCAACGTCGAAAGGGTTTCAACCACCAAGACGATTCTCTAGTCTCTTGGCCATTTTTAATTTTCTTATTATCTTTTAGCGATGAGTATCGACACTAACCTTATTGTCCTGCAGAGCAACTGGCAACCTCTGCGGATGAACCCGATAGAGGGGTTCCGTGCGGACTATCTCTACAAGGCAGAGTTATTGATAGGTTAGAAAACTAAAAGTCCAGGCTGGATGAAAAAGCAGGAAACTGAAAACCTTACGTAAAACCGCTGGTATTTGCTGCAGCCGGCCGAAAATATCACACTGCTTTCCCCTTTGAGTGCCAATGAATCGATGAAGAGTTTTCTTTTTCGATCAAAAGAAAAGAGAGAACTAAATCTGGGGTCATCTAGCGCCCGCACGCCTTCACAGGCGCACCGCTAAATGCAGTTCCTGGCGCAACGTGGCTGTCGCTAGTCAAGGACGTGGATAGTTGGGACCCTACCTGCATCTGCAGAACTTTCGAGAAGGCAAAGTCGAGAGGGAAAGAACTTCGCCCGTGCTTCGAGAACGCCTATTTCTTCCTCCGCCCCGTTTTTCTTTTTCTCTCTCTTTCCTTTCCTTTACTTTCTTTTTTGCTGAGAAAGGGGACAAGGCATGGCTTCATGCAAGGGACTATCTGAGGGTGAAAAGGCCCCGCTGACTGAACAGCCGACATCAAATGGCATAAAGGATTGGCGACGAACTACGCAGCAGCTCGGAGAATATTGCCATCTTTTTTTTTTGCCATTGAAGTCCAACTACCATACTAATATTTGTATTGTCCTCAAATATCTCCTTGTCTTGGCAGGCGTGGAAACTAATGCGCCATCTTTCAAATAATTTTGATCCATCTTTTATTAGCATTGTGCCAATCCGGGCGGATGCGCTTTTATTGAGGCTGTTGTGGGGACTTGCGTTCTCCTCTTTGTTGCATGCACATGTCCTCACAGCCCTACATGGGCTTTGCCAAGCATCCATGGATGAAGCTGGCTTGAGCATACGGAGTGTATAGATGCGTCGCATGAACATATGAATGGCTTTTCTTTCTTTGATGGACTATGCATGCGTATGCACGAATACCCGCTGGTGTATACAGAAACGTCGACTTCCCGCTGACTTGAGGACATGCACGAACATTATCAAGGATCCTTTACCCAGGAAAATTTGGTTGGCTTTACCTACAAGTTAGTAGCGGCGGACACGGTTCAATACCTGATCCAAAATGAAAGATCCCACTCGATGCCGGTTTTTACACGCCATGAGAACTCGAGGCTGTTCTTATGGAACAAGAACATGAGTTTCATATTTGGTTTCGCTTCAATTTTCATCCTGCACGCTACCGCCGCCTCATTTAATAATCATATAGTTGTTTCAGATAGGGGACTCTCTGCTGACTTTGGTTCTGTTTGGCCTTGGTTGAATAGATGAGTAGATGGATCACTGTAATCTAGACGAAAGAAAGACTTGGGTGAAGGCTTCTCGGGAGGAGGGTCAATATTTGACAAATCTAGCCCGCCACAGGGATATCCATGGATGATACTCCTGTACTTTAAAAACAAGGGGATAGGAATGCTTAGTAATTAATATGTATGAGAGAAATAACTACTTCTGCTTGGACAATCAATTCTTTCAATGTGGAATCAACGGAGGCTGGTTTTACGATTTCCCCTGCCTTCCCTCTGTTTCGTCAAATTCACGTTTCATATCATTTTCTTATTTCGTTTGTCTTTTTTTTTACCTTTCATTCTTCTTTCGCTGAAACACAACCAAGGAATGTTCCCATTTTGCCTTTCGTCCCGTAAATACTAGGACAGTCTCTACGCTCGGAAACCTATCCTCACCTACCTGCGGTGAGACAGACATGCACCCCCCCTCCCGGCAATGTGTAGTCGATAGTGGTTACTCTACCTCATCCACCGCGTCAGAGAAGTAGATCTATGTCAACAGGGATGTCAGTGGGGGGGCCGGGGGTGGAATTTACCGCTACAATTGGGGTGGTGGAACGAACACAAAACAAAAACCAAGTCAAAGAAAGCACCCCCTAGTCTCATTTTACCTAACACCTGTAACCCAAAGGGAAAAAAAATCTCGCGTAAGCAAGACAGAAAATAAAATGAGCTCATTTTGGACGAAAGTGGAAAGGGACTGCCTGTTGCTAAATAACATATCGAAAACGAAATCGGCCTATGTGTTCTTCCTGTGATTCCACCTCTGCAACACGCTGATTACAACACCAAATATCAACAGCAGCCCATTGAAGCCGGCAAGGAGGTAGAATGGTGATTTTGGAGAAATTCTATCTGAGAGGAGACCTCCAACTTTTGTGAGGAGTAGAATACCCGCTCCACCGTATAGCGAATACATTCCGGCAACCGAACCCTTGAGGTGGACTAAGTTGTTGTCGTTTGCTGATGGTGGTGACATAGGTTTTGGGAGAAGGGCAGAGCCCTCATCTGAAACATGGTCTCTGGTGCCTAGGAAGGTTTCTGACGCAGCGTGGTCGGTTGAATTTGTTTGTCGTCCATCCTGCTCATGATGGCATGAAATTGCTTCTTGGTAATGGTCTGGTCCAAGGACATGGGCGCTGAGACCTGCAAGGCTGCAGACGATCGACCCGATCTGGCTGATCCCGACCAAGGCCATTGCGGCGAATATGACTGGACTCCCCCCCGGGCCGCGTATCTGGGGGGTTGGTAGGAGAGTTAGGAAAACATAGCCAATTATTCCGGCTAGAGCAGCGGAGAGAAGGGGAACATTGTGTCGTTTTGATTTTGCTGAGAAATAACCAAAGATTGGTGCGAAGCAGAGGGCGGTAAGTTGCGCGACACCCGTCAATATTGAAGCAACAATGTAGGCCTTGGGACATGATTTTTTGATCTCACCCAGGCCAGTTTCTAACATGTGGCTCGGGCTACCCGGGACGTCTTTATCACAAAGTCCAGAATACTTATAATATTGGTTCACATATAGAGGAATAAATAAGGAAACTCCAACGGTTGAGGCTCGAGCAACAAATCCGCCCAAGTATGCGAGTCCTATTCCGGGTTGTTTAAAGCCGAGCAGGAATGATGCGTTAAACTGTGATATGTATGATTTAGGAAAAAATGACGACAAAGTCGAGCTTGATGTCGCTGTCACAGGACGGTGTGATCCATCAGAAGTATGCTCTCTAGGGTACCTAAACGGAGACCTCCATTCCGTGTATTGATCATCAGGCAGATCTCGTAGGCCGATGAAACAAACCGCGGAAATAACAAGTGAGAGCAGAGCGACCACATAGTAGCTCAGTTTGATGGACTGAGTGGGCGACCGCCCCGATTTCTCAAACCACGCCGGAAGAGGCAGGAAAACCAGCAAGGCAACCACGGCGCCACAACCTGTAAGCATTCCAACGATGCCTGCCAAATATGAGGTGGAATCCTTCTCTGGCCGTTTTTCGCATGTTTTTGAACCTGGAAATGTCGCCTGATAAAGCACTGGTGTTATAGTCAACTCTGAAGCGTTAGAAGGGCGAGACGTATGGCCATAAATCCCTTGGGAGCGATCCAGCGGGGGAGGGCGCGCAGTTATTACAGAGCTCTGATCTGAAATTATAGAGGTGCCATCCAAGGGGCTCCTGCGAGCAGTCATAGCTGGAAGAACAGCAGTTACCATGGTAGTTACTGCCGACCCACCGAGGCTGAACAAAAGCCTGCCTAGCAGGAGCTCGGGGTAAACGTTTTTGGCTTGCACAAAAAGAGCCAGCGCCAGGGCGATAATCAGATAGCCTACCGTGCATACCTTGACATATATATGTCAGAGTTTATCCAAATAGCAGTCCAATGGATACTTCCAACTCACATATCTGACTCCAATCCGATCCGACAGCATTCCCCATACGGGACAAGCCACCAAAGCCAACAGCTCATCCGCGAAGCCAAGCGTACCAACAGCATCACCTTCACCGGTTGGGAGCTTTATTAGGTCCGTGACCACGAATGATATCGACGAGTTCAAAAACACGAGGAAGGAGATCGAGAAAAGGCAAACACCCAACAAGTAGGTAGCGGTCTGCAATTTAGTTGCCGTAAACATCATGCCGTGGGTTATGGCCGAAGTTTGTCACGCCCTTGATCATGGAGAATTTAGCACCAAAACATTCAACCAGAGCTGTAGGAAGTGTTGTAGTAGTCTAGAGACAGGGAATTTACCTCAATTATCATATTGGAGGGATCAATGTTTTTAACTAAACCCTCAGCTTTCCGAGTGCACGTTTTGTGTTGCTGCAAAATACATCATGATAGCATTGACGTAGTTTGCCAGCCCTGGCCCAGCACAAGGTTGGTTCAGGGTTTAGCGCATCACATGACTGACAAAGACGGTTCCAAAACGTGGATCCTCCGAGATTTATATAGAGACCTATTTCATACATAAAACTTGAGTTCTTTGTGTAAACACTATCCAAAAGGGCCCTAGATTCCTCAAATCCCACCTCTCCAAAGAGTCCAATACAAATAATCGCATCGACCGTGCAAAGTGACTGGACAATTTGCGCGTCCGCCGCGGAATAATAACACGTGATTATGTTTAGTCATTTTTGAGCTAACTCAGCATTTTGGGCGCTCTGATTGGCCCATCATTTCCCCTCAGGTCTCCTAACGGCGTCGATGATGATAGCTGGCATGAAAGTCCGTTAATCTCTCGCGCGACAGTTTTCGAAGTCGACCGGCCGTGGGCAAAGCAGAACACCCACCCTGGTTTTTTGGTATTTAATTTTAACCATGTCTTCATAAGCCACTATTTTTCTTGATGTGTTTTTCTTTTTTCTAGCTACAAGCCTCAGCCCAGAGAAACGAACGGGGTCGGCCGCCATGAGGTTGGCAGCTTATGCTGGGGTATGACATATACGATATTTCTATTCCCGTGAATGGACATGCGAAGTTGATTCTAACTGTCCCCTAGGCTTCGACAGTCCTGGCTGCTGGTGTGATCCTTAATGCCTTGCACCAGAGAGCGAACTTTTATTCTGCCTGTGTCTATCTGTCCCAGAGCACAGCGAACCTCATGGTATGTGTTTGATAGTTGCGGGTAAAGCCTAGAGTGGATAAACTGGCTAATGATAGCCGCAATTTAGATCCTAACGAACTTCTGCCTCTTGATCGTCGGATTCCTGCTATATGGACTTCAGAAATTGTTATATGGCCCCCTCCGCCCCATCGAAACGGAGCAGCTGTATGAAAGGGGTTGGTTTGCCGTAACGGAAACATGTCTTGCGATGACCATATTTCGTGGAGAGATAGGAGCTTGGTTTTTGGTCATGTTTGTCTGCCTTTTTGTTGGTAAAATCTGGGGATGGATCGGAGAGGGTCGAGTGGAAATACTTGACCAACAACCCCCGCAACGGCCCCGTCTTTTCCATACGCGGTTGGCACTTTCCCTGATTTTGGCCGTCACATTCAACACCCTTATGCTCGAATATGCCGTGAAGACCGTGCTCCGCAACGCCCGACCCGACATGATGGTGATGTTTGGATTCGAGTTTGCCATCCTATCGATCCTCTCGACCTCGACCGCGGCGAGATATGGTATCTCCCTCTGGGAGCTATATGTTACCAGACAACAGCGGCATGCGAAGATGGAGGAACGAAGAGCAGAGATTAGAGCAGCGAGAGCAGAAGCTATCCAGCAACAGTCGAGCTCTGGTCCGCAGGAACTTTTAAATACCTTACCTGGTGAGGATGACATTGATGAAATGGAGCTTGACGTTCCAGGTTGGGAGGAAAAGGGCCGATGGATATTTTATCTCGATCTTGCAACTGGTGGGTATAATCATAATCATGATCACTATTGTTGTTGGCTTCTCCAACAGAATTGCGCAAGCTGACCAAAAGTGTAGACTTTCTAAAACTTGTCGTTTATCTGTCCTTCTTTGCGATACTTTTCACCTTCTACGGCCTACCAATCCATATTCTTCGAGATGTTGTACTTACGATGAGGTCATTCGGGAAGCGAGTTGTTGACTTCCTTCGTTACCGTAATGCCACGAGGGATATGCATCAACGCTACCCGGATGCAACTGCGGAAGATATTGCCACAGGGGATGTATGTATCATTTGTCGCGAAGAGATGGAGCCTTGGCCACCTGCAGCTGCTCCAAATGGTGAAGCCGGTCCGGCTAGACCTGTTTCGGATCGATTACGACCGAAAAAACTTCCCTGCGGCCATATACTCCATTTTGCATGCCTTCGTAGCTGGCTTGAACGCCAACAAATCTGTCCAACTTGCCGACGACCTGTTGCCTCAGCTGCAATACGTCGAGATTTCAGTGCTACGCAGGGGGTTGCAGGTCCTGGAGGCCCTGGTGGAATGGCTAATGGCGGTGTGGGGGCTCAAGATCCACTTGCGGGAGTAAACCAACCTCTCGGGGCCGCCAATGGTCAACCTGGCGAAGCTCGACCAAGAGCATGGGTTCTCAACTTCGGGCCCATTCGTATCGGATTTGGAGCTGGCCGTGGAGATTTATTCCAAAACTTAGCACAACAGGTTCACAATGGCCAAGCACCACCTGCTCAGGCTGGAGGTAACCCGGACAACCTGCCAGCTGGACCGCAACAATTTGGCTTTGGATTTGGCTTTGAGCGACCGCCTCCAGTCCAACAACCGGCTCCAGTCCAACAAATTCCACAACCAACCGTACCAAACGCGCAAATCAACCTCCAGCATACACAGGCTCAGCTTCAGCAAGTTGAGCAGCATATTTCACAAGTAATTGAAAGTCTGCGGACTACGGCTGAGCAACTACAAGTGGTCCGTTTGTTACAAGCTGAATTAACCAGACTTCGTGCTGTTCAAGCAAACGTGGCGCATCCGCATACACAACCACCACATCAGCCACATCCACATCCACAGCCACAGCCACAGGTACCTGCTCCAGCTGTTACCCCTACTGCTATAGCATCATCACATGTTCCCTCCACTGGCACCCAAAGGCAGTTCACATCCAATCCACAAATCCCTGCACTTGGCTCGGGGGATAGTCGTCTCCCTGAAGGGCTTAGCCTGCCGCAAGGTTGGACATTGTTACCTCTACAACAGGTTAACTATGCGGGACAAGCATCTACCCAAATTTCTACTTTTCATTCTGCAAATCCTCCATTCCCGACACACGCATCACAAACGCCTAATACTCAATTATCCTCCCAAACATTACCCACTTTCACACCCTCTACTACCGAAACGACCGACCGCGGGACATCGCTCCACCACGCGTCATTGAACGTTGAACAGCCTAACATGGATTCAACTTCTTCAAACCTGGCATTCCCATTCTCCTCACCAAGTCATGGATCCCAGGCTGAGCCGGAACAGACCAGTTCGACGAGGGGCCACACTTCAGCTAGCCCCTCTTCTGCTCCTCCAGACTGGGGTTCAACAATATCGAACGAAACAATTCACAAGCCTGTAGCTGCAGCGCCTGGTGATGACACGTCACCAGCGACAGACGGAGAAGGAGACAATATTGATGAGAGGCGGGAGGTGTCAGATCAATCGTTGTCTAAGGGCAAATCCCGCGCAGCCACAGTAGAGGATTACATAGAAGATAGTGCTTGATAAGGCGCAAGAAAATTCATGACGCCAACCGTGTGTGGTAGACCAAACAATGTGATAAGCCAACGACAGAAGGCAGAAACAAAGATAATAAAAAATAAGGAAGGAAAATTGAACATCAATTGTATAACTACCTTCTCGATTTTATGTAATTGCAATCATCCCCTTTTTACCCTCTGCCATTTCTTTTGGGTTTTCCGCTTAAAAATCGAAAGATATGTATGATCTACATTTTCCAGTCTTAGTTTTTTTCATATCCGTGTCCTTGGTTTTTTCTCCTTTTTTCTTCTATTTTCTCATAGCGATAGTCCTCGCTCCTATTGTTTTTTTATTATTCCTGCCGCTTTTTTTGAAGCTCCCAGAAAAATGAAAAAAATAAATAAGACAAAACTTGTGAATCACGCACATTGCATTTGCTTTCACAGTTGTATTTCTAGATCAGAACTATAAACTAACCATTTTTTTTTGTGGCGGTTCGGCTCTCTTCGTTTGGCCTGTTGATCCATGCTGTGTGCATGACAGCATCCATACTATTTTCAACTGCCTCCCTCCGTTTGAAGATGATTCCTTCTAAGACATATCAGGGTGGGGATAAATACTCAAACCCCAAGTATTCCAAGTATTCCAAGTATATATAAAAAAGTACGCTATCCATCCTATTTCTACATTACAGACGCCGAGTCGGTCACGGCTTGCCCAGTACCTATACCACTCGTGACCAACGGTCTAGGGATGCAACAACAAGAAGCTGTGTCAAAGTCACAGAGTGCAGTCTGAGATAGATCCATAAGCAGCTTGTGCGTCCTTCGTCTTTCTTCTATCTATCTGGGTTAGATATATGAAAGTGCCAGCGTTTTTCTGTGATCTCTCGCTCTCCCTTTCTTTCCCTTCTCCTCTCCTCCTCTCCTCCCAATACAAAACCTGGATCTTGTAGGGCATCCATCCGCTATCAAGTCGATTACCAATGTACTATACATGTCTCCAACCCCTTCCCAAATTTACGGAGCATGCTATCTTGAACACGTTCGTCATCTAGCCTTGGGTTTCATTTCAACCATGCGAAAGAACAGCCCCCGTTTGCCCCCACCACCACCTCCCACGCATCCAGCGCAAAAGGGAGATTTGATTCCAAAAACAATAACCTCAGGCCGTCGGGAATCGCCGTTACATACTAGTATTGCCTAGGTAGGACCACTCCTGTACCAAAGAAACCAACCATACAATAACACAGGACACGCAGGATATACCATCCGATGTACACGTACGAAATAGTAGGTGGTTTGTTTCCACGTTTCGATATGCCGCGTGCTCTTGTTTTCCCCCCTCAGCCAGGCGAAATGAAAGACACATGCCCACAATTGTTTCCTCAGCCCGAGCCATTGGGAGGTTCTCCTTGGTGACGACGATTCGAAAAATTACACGGGGCCTTGAGCTGACGCTGCTTTTTTGTTGGAACGCGCTCTGGCCGCTCTTCCATCACCCCTGCTTCTCCTTGGGAAGGAACGTATACCTAAGGTGTTGGGATATTTTTCTTGCCTGATGAACCAGATCCAGCGAGCCAAGTGCGCTGTAGGCTTCGGACCATGGGACGTTTTGAAACTTCGACCAGCCGTCGTTCTCCGTATCTACCCAGGGCCGTTATCCCATATGAAGAAAGAAAAAAGAATAAAAACATTGATTGGTGTTATGGGGCCGAAAGCTTTTCCCACTTTGCTGCTTCCAGCAAAGTATAACTCCTAAGTTCCTTCTCTTGGGGGCAGCTAATAAGCTTTGAAGCCGGGCGCGCTATTCAACCAAGCTTCGTGGACCGAGGCTTGTGGCGTGCGGCCAAGCAGGGACGGCGCGCTATTATTAGTTGGTTGTTACTCGGATTCCAAAGCAGTTCGCGATGCGCCGTGCAAAAATCAAAATGTGTTTCCATTTCCCCCACCGGAGATTCGAGGCGCCTGGGGGAAGTCTCGATATCGGCTCTCACTACTCTGTGTATGCTGTAGGCGCTTTCTCTGGTGGGTTCTTTGGTGCTTGGCGTGCTAACTCACCCGACTTGTGGCGGTGATGCGTGTGGGGCCACCGACATCTAACGGCCCAGCTGCTCCCTGCTTCCTTACTTACCCAGCTACGCAGTGGACCAAGGTCTAGCGGGATAACCAAGTCCTTTCAAGTCCCTTCAAGTCCCTTCGTGGACCTGTTGCCTACACAGAAGGACATGTACCAGGCAGGCGCATCCCCAGGTACGCGTAACATTGTGAAAATCGCAACCTCGAGCGGCGACCTGAGTGGTCGGCGGGGTTGGATCGCTGCGTGTGTCGTCTCCACCGCGCCCGCTTGCGAGGAGGTTCCAGCAATATGTGTGGGTCTGCGGATCTCTGGGTCAGGAAGGAGATCTATGGATCACTTTTCTATTTTGCGATTGATTTATTATCTAAGCTATCATCAGCCATAGCAATATCTCACGATTAAGCAGGCAGGCGGGCAGGCAGGCAGGCAGGCATGTATGTATGTAGGTACTCGTGTATTGTACTACAGTACAGTGCAATGTAGTTCATGCATACAAAAGAAATCCCCCTGCGTCCATCTGTAATGCGGTTACCAGCCGTGTTGCAAACGAAGATCCTCCCGGCCCTTGCAGTCCTTGCTTGGAAGCTGGATCCCGTCGGATCTGCTTTCGGTCCTGCGCCTGCATGCAGACATTGCGGGCATTGCCTTGCTTGTCTCTTTGTATGCGATGCCCCTTTAATTGGATAATACGATTGATTGATGCTTTTTCTGGCGCGCGCCGTCACATGCATTCCTCCGTTCACTTTGGAGCGGCAAATCGTTTGGTGTTCTGGCCCCTTTATATCTGGCGGAATGCCCTCTTCGTAAATCACCATCCAGTTCAGAGCAAACCCTGCCTACCTGTGCTGCAGCTTCAAAAAGGGGAGGTAGGGGATCACAACGGATTGGAGAAAAGAGATAGCAAAATTTTTCATGGACTGAATCCCACAGCCTTTGTTTCGGAAACCAATCGGTCAATTGATTCGCATTGACCAACACTGAAGTTTGACGCCAAAATCCGTATATTTTTGATACACGGATGGGATGAATCAATGAGGCAATGTACTCGCGACCTTCAAAAGTCCTCACCCGCCGGTCGCCCTTCTTTATCGTCCTCGCTTTCCTTATCACCCTCCTCTGGCGTAGACGGATGGCCGACAATCATGGCTTTGTAGCCAACCCTTGGAACAGACACGCATCCAGACAACATTCCCCAACTCTGGCAAACCTTTCTCTAGGTAGTTTTTCCAGCTTTAGCTCCCTATATCTAGTAGAGATGTCTCTCTATCTCTGTATCTCTCCCTTTTGCTCCTCCCATCACAAGTAGCTCAGTTAACCTTCGCTGCCTCCAGGGTCCTCCAAACCACCCGGCTCCAACCACTCAAGGGCCCTGATCATCCCCCGGCTGCAAAGGGAAGATGCCGACTGGGTCTCCACCCAGCTCGTTGATGTAGAAGCCTTCGTCTACGTCGTTGACGACCCCCATGCCCCCCTCCACCCGCCCCTCAACAAGGGCCATGAAGCAATGGTCTACCTCACCTACCTCATTGACCACTACGAAAACCTCCCGGACATCATGATATTCATGCATTCTCACCGGATCGGCTGGCACAACGAGCACGCACTCGCCATGGACGCCGTCGCGCACATCAACAGGCTGAACAGCGAACGCGTGACGCGGGAGGGCTACATGAATCTGCGCTGCAACTGGGACCCCGGCTGTCCGGCCTGGTTGCACCCGGGCAAGACGGAAGCAGACACGGGCAAGCCGGAGGAAGCCAACCTCGCGACAGCGTGGAGGGCGCTGTTCCCGGGCATCGAGGTCCCCGAAGTCCTTGCGCAGGCGTGCTGTGCCCAGTTCGCCATCTCGCGCGCCCGCGCCCGCGCCCGCGCCATCCCGCGAGACAGATATGGTTTCTACCGTGACTGGATCCTGCGCACGGAGCTGAGCGACTCGATCTCCGGCCGCGTGTGGGAATACCTCTGGCAGGTGCTGTTCGCGGGCCAGACGGTCTTCTGCCCCGCGAAGCATGCGTGTTACTGTGACGGGTATGGGTTATGTTTCGGCGGCGCCGAAGGGGTAGATGAGTATCTCGGCCTCCTGAGACGTGAGGAAGGATTGAAGAAAGACCTAGAGAAATGGCGCAGGCTGGCGGGTGCGGTGGCGGATGCGGAAAGTGAGGGCAAGTCGCGCAAGGAGATCGAGGACATGGAGCAGCCCGAGTTGGGGAAGGGGGCACTTCTGGAGGCTCAGGTAGAGGCCTCGAAGCAAGAGTTGACGAAGATTCTTGCGCGAGCGCAGGAGCGGGGCAGGGATCCGCGAATCCGCGCTCAGGAGGCGGGGAGGGAATGGAAGGAAGGGGATGGGTTTTGAATATTTTATTTTGAGCAATCAAACCATGCGGGGGAAGCGAGAAGACACTGAGTTGTGTTTCTTTGCCTTTCTTTTCTTTTTCTCTTTTTGCTCGACTCCTCCAGACGATTTGCTGTCACTCTCACGGTTACGAAACCCCAATTCCCCCCCACAGGCTTCTAAGGTCTCCGAGTACCATTCCCTTCCATCTAGAACCTCACGCTAGGATATCCTCTTCTTTTGTGTGAGGAGGGAAGCAGCGGTTTTTGAACATCTTGCGAGTATTTCCCGCCCGCTTATTTCAGGAGTGTGTGAACAACTACTTCATCCGGCGCAATTTTTATTTTTATTTTTATTTTTCCATTTTGGTGGCACCCTGTGTTCTCACCTCAACCTCATGATTCCTCCTTCTCTCCCCGGGGCGGGTATATACTACATACTAGTACATATATAGACATGTGCTGTACACACATGTCATGCGGCCGTACGTCCCTGTCACCCATTGACTGCAAAACAAAATACAAAAAATAAAAAATAATTAGAAAGGTCAGAAAAGATACTATGGGAATATTGTAAGCCTAAGTGAGGGCTGGCTGATTGCGCAAGATGTGGAAGACATCGTGCTCACGTTTCACAGCGAACTGGATGCTTCCTTTTCCTCGCGGACAGAGGAATCAAGCACACAGGCGTGAGGGGAGCAGCACAGGGAATGATCAGGAGGATAATGTGTGCATCCTAGTATACTGGCATACTGGCATACTATTTACATAGTATGCTGTCGCAACTACCCCGTACTAGTGCGTCCGAGCTTGGCGTCCGCGATGACCAACATCTTACATAACCGCCTTCCCACGTGACCCTCTCGCTCCAACTTGTCCAGCTTTTTTCTTTTCGCTGGAAATTCTTTTGTTTGACGCTTTCCCCCGTTGCAATCAATTCAAACACGACAAACATCGCAAACCGACATCCAGCAAGCAATATCTAGATCCATCTATACAAGTATCAATCTATCAGACTTCTTCAGTGGAGGCACTGTCTCCTTTTTCCTTTTTCCTTCTTCCTTTCTTGTTAGAAATCTTTGCTTTTGAACTTCTGGACGCACATTGCGTCGGGAGCGTGAGGAGTTTTTGTTGAGATTTGGAAGCTCAATTTTGAATCAACCGGCTTCGTGGAGGAGGGGGATAGACAGAGAGGTAGGAACGGCGCGTTATATATATTTAATATACTTCTGGCCCTTCTCGCGACCTGCGATGCGCCTTGAGGACCCTTGAGAGCTCGTTCGTGAGGCTTGCGGAACGGATTTTGCTTAAGAACGTCGCCAATTGGGAGGTTGCGCTGCAGTGTTGGGTATCAGGTAGAGAGCCCTTTTTTTTTTATCAATCGCTATTATCGATTTTGCCCTTTCTCCCAGTTCCTCGCACAGCCCGCGTCCCTAGCTAACATCTGGGTTTTCGCATAAAATAAAGCTGCTTCATCGCACTCTTATCTATATCTACCGCACACCTATTCGCTAGTTACTACTAGTACCTTGCCGCGCCCGACGCTTCTACTTCAATCGCGCTTACAAGAACGACAAAAGCTTAGTTCATGTCCAGCAATCCAGAAGATATGACCTTGACCTCCCCCAAGCCCTCAAGCCCGGACTTCCCAACACACAACTCCCCGCACCACCACCACCACAACCACCGCCACCACCTCTCAAACAGTGCACAGCAGCAACAGCAGCAACAGCAGCAGCATAACCTGGCTATCGCCGCTAGCGCTGCTGCCGCCAGCTACGCTGCAGATAACCACCTAGCAGGCCTTGTGGAAGCCGCCACGGCCGCAGCGGGACAGGATGTCGACTGGGCGCAGAACGACGACGGAGATGCCAGCGTGATGGGCCATGGGCGTGCGCTGCACGGCCACCTCGAGGGATATCCTTCGCCCAATCCTGTGTCTGGCGCCGCGGGTGAGGCGGGTGGTGGTGGGGACGGCCTGCATTTGGGTGATGGGTTTGTGGGTGATCCGACGACGGGGGGTGGGCAGGGGCAATATGGTGGGATGCCTTCGGGCGCGGGGTCGGGGTCGGTAGATGGGAGTAGTGGTGTGCCGACAGCCACTGCTACTACGGCGGCGGCGGCGGCGGCGCGGAGACAGCTACGCCATGTGAATGTAGCAAGGGGTCCGACGAACCTGCCGAGGAAGAGGAAGCGGGCATCGACTATCGCCAACGTTGACCCGGCGATGACGGATGACGTCCCGCCGGAAGGCCAGTATGACGATGACACTGGCAACGTGGACGAGGTTCTAGCCGCGGGCGGAAACCAGAACGGAAGCGCACACGCCCTGAGTATCCGCGAGCTACCACCACAGCAAGCGTTATCGGACGCACGCGCGGCAGGGGTCCACTCCGCCGCCGCGCTCTTCCGCCAACCCTCGGCCACCAGCAAGAAATACACGCGCCCGCCGATGTCGAAGATGTTCTCGTCGCTGGGCTTGTCGCCGGAGAACTTCCTGTACTTACAGGCTGCGGCGAAGGCGTATATGCTTGACGAGGCGCATCCGGAGAGACGCGATTGTGTGGGCCAGAGGGGGAAGGGGGATACAGAAATGGTGAAGTTGCGGTTGTGGAATTGTGTGAGGGATTTTCTGGATAGGGAGGGGAATGGGGAGAGGTTTTTTGGGGAGGGGGCGGGGAGCACTCCTGATGTTGGTGCTAGTGGTGCAGCCGGGATGATGGGGATTGGGATGGGGTTGGGTGTTGGCGCAGACTCGCGGCCCCCTTTGGTGTGGCCGAGGGATGAGCAGCGGATCATTTCGCTCGTCATGCCGTTGCTTAGAAGGATGGTCACGAATGAGCGGCAGAGACAGTATGCGATTGAGACGAGGAGAGGGGGTGCGGGTGCGGGTGCGGGTACGGGTACGGGTACGGGTGCGGTTGGGATTGGGGCGGAGAAGAAGAGGGACCAGGTCGGTGATGGCGATCGTGTGTCGACTCTCTCACCAGAGCATGGGTTTCCGTCGCATCAAACACATCAACTCAACCATCACCACCAGCAGCAGCAACACCATGGCGTTTCAGGGATGGAGCTCGGGTTGATGGATCTATTAAATGAAGGGTATCCGACGGATTGGGAGTCCATCGCCCGGTCCTACGATAATTACAACATAGATTATCGACTGGATAACCTCGGTTCCATATCTGGGTTGCAGCAGGCGGACTGGTGGGGTCTTGTTGCAGCGGTTGACTCTCACTACCAGATTTGCCACTCGGGTAATGCTTCGGACTGCAGTACACATTGTGAGGAGTGTACGATTAATCGGATTGTTTCGTCGGATAGCGTGTCGCAGGCTGGATGGAGGGTGGGGATGGGAGCGGGAGGGCCGGTGCATACTGAGGACTTGGCGGCGAGAAATTATTTGTAAGGGTACCCCTTTTACCTCTTGCATCTTCTACTATTGTGGTAGTAAAACCCATGCTAATATATTCTCCCCACAGTGCAACGGGGATAACCCGCGACGTGTCGCATATTATCCGTGATATCCTCATCAGCCAACAGCAACAACAGCAACAGCAACAGCAGCAGCAACAACCACCACCATCTCCACCATCAACATCACCCGCAACCTCAGCAAGCACAAGCACAACCACCCCACAAATCCCCGCCCACCAAATAGCCATCCACATCAACACCACAAAGCCCAGCACCAAAGGAACAAAACGCCTCATCCCCCGCCTCGACATCTCCGCCGACCAGTGCCCAGATCTGGCCAGCCTGCTACAAAAGGTCCGCCAGCACCACATCCAGTTCCAGCAACAGCATAATGGCCAGCATCAGTCCCAGAGCGCACAGCAGGCTGCTGCCGCCCTTGCTGAGGAGCCGACGCTGCCCGTCAAAGTGTGGTTAGAGGAAGGGCTGGTGGATGTGCAGACGGACGCGGAGTGGGCGGTTGCGCTGGCTAAGGTTAGTACAGTGGATTGGATGGATGGGGAATTAAGGGTTATTGTTCAAGGTACGGAAGCGGGGAGTGGAGAAAATAGTTGAGGTTGATGTTCGTCATTAATTTCGTATTTTGCTCTTGCTTTACTTTGGCTGCGGAGTGGGTAGGTAGCCTGTGGTGTTTTTATTATTTCCTCCTTCTTCTTCCCCTGTGTATTCTTTTGTATTTATTTTAAGTATATGCTTCTCGTTCCATGTTTCATCACTGGGAGACCAAAAAATTGGGAGCGGATATATTTGGTAAGGATACTTTGTTTCTACGTCCTTTGCATATTTTATTTTATTCTGTTTTCATGCTAAATGCGTTGTCAATTTGATATCCACTGCCATTAATCACACTTTCATTTAAACTGCTGGCCTTTTGTCGTAGTTGTAGCGGTGGGCAGATGTCATAGTTAACCCAGCAAGTCCTTGAGTAGCTGTCGTATTTCGAGACACTGCTGTAAATATTGAGTTTCTTGCTTCAAACCTAGCCATAATACGCGGGATATACAAGCCTCACCTCGTCCATAGTTGCATAGTTGTGAGGTGTCGGGGAACGCATCGCTGGATCCTGATTGCATGCCTCGTAACCAACTAGTTGCTGGCCATCATCCTCTGGGTTGAGTGAGTGCAGCACTTCAGGACCGCTGGAGTGAAAAACCAAACAACCCTGGAGTGAAATCTTGTCCTCGACAAAAGGATCTCATGTAGGGGCAATTTCGACCTTACCTTTTGCCGGCAGTTGTTCGTTTTGAAGGGCTTTCACACATGGAAAAACGACACGACAGATGTAGGTACATACATACATACATACAAGAAGAATTACTGTGATGGGTTGGAAGTTGTTGTTTCATGCAATTATATGCGTGAAGCACACCTGACTGACGTCGTTCCTCGCATTTCCTCACCGGACCGAGTGCATGCAGATGGGCGCCCGGCCGTAGCGGGTTTCAAAAGGATGGATCTGATTCGAGATGGACGCAGTTCCCGGGCACCGTTGGAAGAAGTAGTTAGGCTAACGCTCTTCTCGATCTTATAATACTAGTATTTCACAATCCAGCGATTGAGCAACACCGAACTATTCTTTAATCTTGCAACGCGCAAGAGAGAATGGAAAACGATAATCGACCACTTGGAACGGATTCCGGCTTAACTTGTCCTAACTCGCCAAGAGGTCTGCAAGGCTCCCCTGGAAAAAGGTTTGGGCAGCCCTGGATAGATTCTGTTCGGCACTGGTCCTTCTCCATGCTGACTGGTTGACAGCTCCCGGGACGTGGCTTTGGATCATGGGTAGAGATTCCTGGCTTGAAGCATCCTCATACCCACTCATGCACTGCAGGGATTGTTAGCGACTGCCGAAGCGCCAGACTCAATCCCCACAAGGAGGCCCATAGCCCATGAGTGGGCAGGATGGGGAGTAAGGGCTGTTCAACGACTCGTTCGGCTCCATGGCCGTTGGCTCTCTCCAGATGAAGAGAGCGAGGAGAAACATTGACAGTTCAAACTTCCGAGAGGCGTGGATTTGTAGCCTTGTTTGAAGGACCAGTTGCTCAGCCTTTCTCCGCTTTCTCTTCTCTACTTACCTCCCAGGAAACCGGGTTTGGAATCACGACAGATTTCTGAATCGCGAAGTTTCTAATATTTAATTTTCCATTCTTCCGTGGGTTTTCTCCCCCCTCACGACATAGAAAGGTCTAGCCGTGATAGGAGCTATATAACGATCTACTTCCCAAAGTTCGGGGGGATAGAAATTTAGGAATACCCAAGGAAAAGGGATACAACATGACAAATATGGACGTGACCACAGTTGTTACCTCGATCCTGGAGGCCTTTGGGAATGGGCGGGATTTCTTCAATCGCATACACAAAAAGAAGGATCTTAAAAGATCTGGAACCGATAAATCCAAGCGGGATCTAAAAACCCACGGCTCGCGAAAGAAAAAGCGAAGAAATACAAATGATGCGGCAGTTCCGGTTCGCAGCGAAGATATGGATGATTTGCGAATCCAGGCATCATTGGAACGGGGTCCCGCTGAAATCAAGAAGGAATATGATACCAGCGTCCAGCGCTTAGGGGAACGCTTCAAAAAGGGCGACGGTATGCAACTCCATTTGTTTTGTTTTCTGCTACTATTGGAAGGCTCGAGATATTAAAAACAAAAGAAACTCGGGTTAACATCATATTGCTAACAATCATACTCTTGACTAGAACTTGCTCAAGGATCCCTTGCCCATACATTATTAATATTGAATGCCGGCTTGATGAAACTAATAGCATCCTGTTTGTCCAGCGATGGGCAGGGATACAACTGTGCTGGAACTGTTGATCGACGGTCTCTACTCATACTCTCCGATTCTGCGGCGGCAGATGCAATAACCGCTCTTGATGAACTCCGACAGCGCCTGATAAACGCGTCCACCCCAGCGCCTAAATCAGCAATAATACCCGCAGGGCAGAAAGGGAGACAACGCAGCAGATCGCTGTCACGACAGAGGCCAAAGGCGGAATCAGGGAAGAATAGTAAAGCCGAAGACAGAAATCAAGCTCCAAGCGCCACGGCGTGGCTCACGACAACAACGGGACAGCGCAAAAAGAACACGGCAGGGCCATCACCGAAACCAGCGTCGAATATGGCAACCAGCGGCCGAGAGTTCACGGGAATGTGGATTCGGTCGAGAAAAGGGTCCTCCATATCGCTGGCAACAACGGCAGTGACAAGCCAGCATCCAGCACAGCAAGCCCCGAAGAAGTTGCCAAATATGCTAAAGCAATGCGACATGGAGCATAACCAGGGTCACCCAGCTTTTGCCCATCTCCAGCAGCAATACGGGAGATCGCCAAACAACGAAGCAAACTTCCAACCCAGCGGGCGGGAACACCGAGGGCAGCAACTTTCGTCCATTCGCACAGCGGCACTAAATAATGGTAGAACGCCAGTAGCAGCGCCTTCAATTACAAGAGTTCTTCGAAAGGACTTGCCGCCCCTTTCCCCGCTTGTGCCCCTATCACAAAATCTCCAACCGCCACGTGGGAGAACTGGAGCTGGAGGAGGTCCGGGAGCCGCTTCCTCGATATCTGTGTCATCTGGTAGCACAAAGCTGGGTGAGATTCCGAGCCGGGGCCGGTTTGCACAGGCCTCGTCTCTGAATCCCCTTCCACTTCCACCAGCACAGATTTCCCGGCCGACAGGACCGGTTGTGGAAGTCGGCTATCAACGGCCGAGAGTTGCGTTCAATGCTGGATTGGAGTACTGGAGAAATTTGGCTGCAGGGGCGAACGATGGAAAAAAGTCCATGTTCGAAGAGGGTAGGGCAAGGAAGTAGAAGGGCTTTTGCTCCCTTTGTGGAACTGTACATTTGGCTCTCTATTTGCTTTGTTTTCACGTGTCTTATTTAACTTCTCTATCCCTTTTCATTATCGCCGGTTTCATTCGTAGCCGGAAATGAAATGGCCGTTCCTTTGTCTCTGTTTCTTTTTGCTAATGATTTATTTCTCATATTTCTCATATTGCTCATTTTCTCCTTTCTCTCCCTCTCTTCTTGTGAATATTTTTGGTGATTTTTGTCAAGCTTTGTGTGGCAAAATGTCAACTTCTCAATCTTTTTCCAGTTTTTATTTATGACTCCTTTACGAAAGATGACCTGAATGATCTTCGAATGCTTACCCTTTATAATAATGTAGGTATTTTCTTTTTCTTTTTCTTTTTCTTTTTTTTTTCTCGTTACGCCTTGTATGAACGGTATCTTCATGGGCATTTATTTCATTTCTCCATTCTGCACCGAGATGACTTCAATCTCATATATGTTGAATTTCTATCACGGGACAGGACAGCATCTTCAAACTGAATACAGTATCCAATGCAGACAGGTTATTTAGTCGTTTACTCTAGGGAGAGTGACATGCATGAGAAATTGCTTGAAAATATTATACAATCGGGGTCAACCCATTGAACAACGCTCATAGAATGGAAAGACGGAAATGATGCAATTAAACTGGAAACCACACAATGCACCACCGGCAACCCTCTAATGGTGAAATGATAAGAGAGAACTTTTGATGGATTCAATGGACAACGCAGGATGAAAATGGATTTAGACAAAAGAGAAAGCTAAGGAAAAAAAAAAAAAAAAAAAAAAAAAAAAATATCAACCAAAAGCAAGTTCTAAACAGCGCCTCCCATATAAAACACCAAAAAAAAAAAAATGAATAGCTGTTTCGTCTGTCGTCCTTCCAAAGTGTGAGGGCCTCCCACACATTTGAAACGGGCAGCGAGTAAGCACAAGGAAGTAAATCGCCGTCCGTATCTTCCGCTCAAAGTGGCACTCGATGTTTCTCTACCACCTCGTCAAGGGCAACAGTGTAGCAACTATCGTTTTCACGAGAACCAAGCCGCCGAGAAATTCTTGTTCTCGAACCTTCCTATTATTGTTTGCGATGATTTGACGTTGGCCTTGAAGTCCGCCCCGGCTTCAAAAGAAAGTGGGAATTTCTGGGGATGTGGGTGTGATTATTGAACCTTCTTTGGAATGACCGTCAGCAGACACTCTCGTGCTCATCCCTGAGCTTGTTCTTCTATGTCCCACATTCCCATCCCCGGTTACTTGGTTTGGCATATACACATGCGCGTTTTTCTAAAACCCCTTTTGATTGCTTTTCCAAGTCCTCTTCTCCGTCTAGGTGGCGAGAGTATTGCTATCGACTTTTGCTTTGATTTTGTTGCAGTTGTTGGTCTTGGTGTCGCTGTCACGGCTACTTCCACTGCTGCTGCCGGTTGGCGTTGTGGTGATGGCGGGCCCTCCCATGGATCGCACAGCCGACACTGGTAGGAAACTTTAAAGACCGCATCTGAGCCGTCATAGAGACAGCTTAAGCTGTCCTCGCACGATTCTTCTTCCACTCGCACCGGTGGAGAGCGGTGACCGCAGGTATACAAGGCCGTAGACCAACGGCACATCGTTAAGCAGAGAGGGTATAATGGGGTCTTGCTAGTAAGTATTAGTAAGGTGGGTATGATAAAGAAGTGGTATCGCAGTTACCTTCAAAATGCACCAAGCCGGTTCTGATGTCCAAATGTTGATAATTTAGGTTCAGGATAAGGATATCGAAAGCACTTCGCGGGAAGATCCCCAAAATGATGAGACGGTAACCACAAGTGAAATGTAAATACTGTAAGAGATTGGCTTGGTAAGTTAATGAGAAACTGAACTCAATAGTCGTAGCGGAGGTAAAGCGTATTTTGAGGGTGTTTTATAGAGTGAAGCGTGTTTGTTGTAAGAACAAAGGGGGTGGCGACGAGCGAAAGGAGATGTAATAAAAGAGCATACTTTTCTTTTATCAACAACAGTCCCTCGTCATCTCATTCTAAAGAGAAGGGCCGGAGGGTAAATGAGAATAGAGTCATCCCGTAGAGAATATCGTAGAGGTAGAAAATAGTTTATGACGATGCTGACATTCGAAGAAAAGACAAGGTAAAAAGGCCAGCTTGGTTCACTTGCCCTCTTCTTTCTCTCTTAACATGCGATATGATAGCAAAATTCAGCATAAGTAGTTAAACAAAAAGAAAATAGAACATAGTTTAAACAGAGTTCTTTGAAAAGTAAACCCGTATGACAAGTTTGGAATTTTGATAGATCAACTGTCTCAAATGGAGTGACCTGCAGTGTAATGGCTGTTAGAGGTTATACAAAAACCATTATTGCAACACTGATTGCAAGACTAAGTAACCCGGGGAAGCAACAGAAACAATAACAATCTTTTAAACATAGCTAAGGCAGACTCGGGGAAGAATGAGGAGGGTGTAATATACTCCTCATACATTTCCTGGTTGAACAATACTTTTGTGCCCTAACATACATGTGTTGGGAAACCGGATTCCTTAGTTCGGTAATAAAGCAAATTTTTTTTTTTTTGTTCTGAGCTTCTGAATCGCACGAAAGGCATCCCTGGCTCGAATGGTGTGGATGGATAGTTTCATCTTTGGCATGTTGCGAAACAGCCGGATAGGTGGTCCTCTCACAGCATCGAGTAGGCCGGAATTGACGGATCTTCAGCCGGTCCCGGCCTAGCTAGACACTATGCCACGGCCTCCTAACTATTCCCGGGATTTAGGCCACTTCCCAGGTTTGCCGAACCAGCCCAAGCGCCCAAAAACACCACAGGATTGCCTTCCCAACCATCCTGATAGGTTGGTTCGCTACTGCGTGGAGGTGGTGTTGAATCAGGTGACCTTCAAAGACCTAATTACTGTTGTCGATACCCTTCAAATTCTTCAATCAACCATTTCAAAAGGCCCGAGTACCCTCTTATTTCTTCCGAGTATTGGTATATCCTCCTGTCAGCTAGGTGGAGATGCCGGTAATCAGGAATTCGTTCTGATAGTACTGGTCATCATACTGGTACTAGTGTTTGCTCAAACCACCAGCATCGGCCTGATTTGGCGTCCTTCCACCTTTCTATCACAACCTGATTTTACAAGGGCGCATGTGATCGATTGCCGAATATATGGCTTCAAAATTCAGTTCTGGAAAGTTTAGCCAATGATCCCATGTTCAGGTGGGACCCAACGTTCCCAGGAATCCCAAAACAAGACAGCTAGGGAGTTTTTGGTGATGCAACTGGATAACCTTAGCGGAGGAAACTGCTTTGTGGGCAACTTTCGTTTCAAATTGTGGTGCTGTTCTTGGGTTTGAAAACGGTCTTGTTAGAAGAATAGACAAGATGGCGATGGCGGTGAGGGGTTTGTCCATGATTCTCTTACCTCGCATACAACAAGCTACCCCACCTCCAAGCTATCTAAATGCACGTAATGACGCGCACACCAGGGCCTTCAATATCAAATAACCGACGAATGTTGCGTGAAAGAGGGTACGCTGATTAAAAGAGGGTGGGATTAATCTACGGCAAATGTTCAGCTTCTTCATATTAAATAGATATTAACCCATTGGATTTAACATGTGAAGGGAAACAGTGTAGTTTTCATAGCTGGTGATAATTGCACCTGGACGCATGATGCTAACGAATGCAAGGACCTCTGCATGCAGAACTGCGGACTAAATATTGCGATTAGCTTAGACCACAGCCGAGTCGCCCAGCCACTTCAGTTTACCTGAAACGAACATTGGCGTCAAGACATAGATAGAGTGCGGCTATACCTCTACCAAAATTATTTTATATTGGTTTTGTCTTAGTTCTTATCTTTATCTCGTAGGGTCTCTTCTTAACACTATCCGCCAAAAGAACAGAGAGTGACTCTTCAAAAAGGTTAGATTAAGTCTCAAATTTTCAACTTCTCCAACCCCTTGATATGCTCCTCAAGTCTTGCTGCCTCACTTTCTGCATCCCTCAACTTCTTCTCCTCCAACTCCCTAACTTCTGGTTTGACTTTCTCCTTCCACCCGGCTGAACCCATAATGCCCAGCTGCCTCTTAACAACCTCCCGCGCCTTAGCAAGGCTCAATTTGGCCTTTTCCTCTTGCTCCAAACGCACCTCATCCGAGACCTGAAGGTAGACAGCTGCTTGCGCACTCACAACAGAGAGCACACAGCCAGTAGGGGGAGTCTGGTTTTCCGGATCGAGAACAGTGATCTCTCCAATATACTTGCCGCCAAGGGACTTGATGATGTGTATTTCATCGGAAACAGTCTTGTAGCTTGTCGCATCATAGGTTTGGATTTTGATGTCGCTTTTGCTCTTGACGTCGTACGCAGCAAGAATGCTGCGGATGGTCTTGGACGTAGCAAGGATGAGCTCATAGGCGGTTTCGGCCGCAACGTCGTCCAACGCTGGGTTGTATGCCGGGTACGCTGCTTTCATGATCGAGGGCGTGGCATCATTGGGGCGGCGAGGAAGACGCTGCCAGAGCTCTTCGGTGACGAAGGGCATGATGGGGTGGATCAGAGTTAATGCACCCTCCAGAGCAGTGTACAGAGTTTCCTTGGCGGAATGTTGGACTTCAGCGGGGACGTCGGCTTGCAGGAGAGATTTGGAATTTTCGATGAAGACGTCGCAAAGCTGGCTGTACCAGTATTGGTAGAGGACTGAGGATGCAACTGAGAAATCTCTGCTTTCCAGACTCTCGTTGGCGAGTTTGGCAGCGTTGTTGAATTTGTGAAGGATCCAGCGTTCGGAGAGTGATTCTTTGCCGGTTTTGGCGGGGGTTGCTTGGGGCTTGAAATCCTCACCTAGTTTACCGAGAACATATCTGGTAGCTTGATAGATCTTGTTGCAGAATCTGCGGTAGCCATGTATCACCTGGATATCGAAATTGATATCGCCGCCTGAAATGTAAAGGACGCGTTAGGGAGTCATTTCTTATACTAGGCATAGGAATAAATGGCAACTTACCACCAGTGGAATAGGAAACAAGAGCAAATCGCAGAGCATCAGTACCACATTCAGGAATACCCTTTGGAAATGCCTTCTTTTGATATCTTGTGGCCGCAGCGATCTCTTTCTCTGCCAGATTGCCGTGCTTCAGTTTGTCATGCAGCACTTGCAACTCGATGCCCTCGATAACATCTACAGGATTTATAACGTTACCCAGTGACTTAGACATTTTCCTCCCCTCAGAGTCTCGAATTAACGAGTGGCAGTACACCTCGGTAAAGGGAACTTTGCCTGTCATTTTAAGGCCAAGCATGATCATCCTAGCGACCCAGAAGAAGAGAATATCCCAGCCAGTCTCCAACACGGAGGTAGGGTACAGTTTCTCAAAGTCGGGAGTATTCTTGGGCCATCCCAGGGTGGAAAATGGCCAGAGTCCGGAGGAAAACCACGTGTCTAGCACGTCAGGGTCCCTCTTGAGCGTGAACTTCTTTCCAGCGAATTTTGCGTCGGCTTTCTTCTGTGCTTCAGCCTCACTGCGACCGACCACCCAAAGATTGCCGTCGCTGTCATCACCATGCTCCCCTTCAATCTGCACAAAGTAAGCGGGAGCCTGGTGACCCCACCAAAGTTGGCGAGACAGACACCAGTCATTAATGCTATTCATCCAGCGGAAGTAGCTCTTCTCGGCGGTTTCGGGGCGAATTATAATCTCTCCATTTTCGACGGCCTTAATTGCTGGCTCGGCAAGGTCCTTCATTCTCATCCACCACTGTGGCTTCAAGATTGGTTCGATGATATCGTTTGACTTGACGCAAACAGGTACTTTCATTGGGTTATTCTCCCATGTGACGTACAGACCCTTTTCCTTCAAAGCTTCGATGACCTTGTATCTCGCATCAAATCGCTTCTCTCCTGCAAAGGGGCCAGCATTGGCATTGAAAGTACCGTCGTCATTCATAATAGAAATAAATTCCAGATTATTGTCTTTGCCACGGATGAAATCGTTAAAGTCATGGGCGGGTGTTATTTTGACAGCGCCAGTACCGAATTCAGGGTCAACATTGACATCAGCAAAAATTGGAAGCAATCGCTCCAGGAACGGATGCTTCGCAAATTTGCCAAGGTATTTTTGATACCGTTTGTCATCGGGATGGACTGCGATCCCAGTATCACCAAGCATTGTTTCTGGACGAGTGGTTGCAACCTGGATAGTTTCATCTGTGCCTTCAATTGGGTACAGGAAATGCGTCAAGACACCAAACTCCACCTTCCTTTGGTATCCTGGAACATCGAGTAATGTGCGACCCTCGAGATCTTTATTTTCCACCTCAAGATTAGACAGGGAGGTATTCAAGGCCACACACCAATTGACAAGGCGGTTTGCACGATATATAGTCCCCTCCTCGTGTAAGCGGACGAAGGTTTCTGTAACAGCAGCAGACAGGTTTTCATCCATGGTAAAGGCCTCTCTAGTCCAATCAAACGAACCTCCCAGCCTCTTCAAGGTCGAGGTAATGCTATCATGATACTTGTACGTCCAGTCCCAAATCATATTAGTCATTACCTCCCTCCCCACATCATGGCGGGTCTTGCCTTCAGTCTTCCACAGAATTTTCTCCACGACACTCTGCGTCGATATTCCAGCATGGTCGTAGCCTGGAAGCCAAAGGACAGTCTTTCCTTTCATTCGCTGCCAGCGTATCATCGTATCCTGAAGCGCATTGGTCAAAGCATGACCCATATGCAGGTCTCCCGTGACATTTGGTGGCGGGATAGGAATGACGAATTTCCCTTCTGGCTTGACGTTTCCATCTGGTCCAAACTCGGGTTCGAAAAACCCTTGTGCTTCCCACCATTCATATCTCCCAGATTCAATTGTAAGAGGATCATAAGCGTCGACATTCTTCTCCTTCTCGACCTTGGGCTTCTTTTCAGAAGTTTTAGGCGCGGGGACCGGAGCGGCAGAGCCTGATTTGGCCTTCTTTTCAGCGAATTTCTTCATCTTCTCCGCCTTTTTCCGTTCCTTCTCAACTGTATATCAAAGTATCTGTTAGCCGGACCCCTAATACTTCCCATGAGTCATAAGCCCCGCCAACGGGGTGTGAACCTCCGCAAATTTAACAAACAGAATTGCATACGTTCTCTCTCCGATTTCCCCTTTTGAACCTCCTGAGTGCCAATCGCAACATTTTTCGCGGTTCCATTTTCGTTGGTTGGAGCAACAGGGGCAGCTGATTGCTGCGGAGCTATAGAGAGAAATAGGATACCCAGACTGTCAGTTTCCAGGGCACAAAACGAGATGTATTATATTTATCACATCTGGCGCACTTACCAGGAGTTTGCTCTGCTAGATTCGACGTCATACTAAATAATCTTGATCCTGGTTCAAGTCTTGGTCTTGTTGTTGGAGCAATTGCCCATCGCGCAAAGCGCGGAGTAACTAGTCGTCGAAGTATGTTGGAGCTCTTGGGAGGGGTAAAAATCGGGTTGCAAAGTACGCTTTTCTCGTGGGAGGGGTATGCACTGCATTAGTAAGTGAGTTAATTAGCGATCGCTCAGAGGGGCCAGAGAGGCTACTACTAAGTGATTGAAGCCATGGCTACTTACAGAAGTCTGCTGGTGATATCTTTTAAATTTCGCATTCCCGCACGGTTTTTAAGGAGTTTGAGTCACAATTTGGATGAGTCACGTGTACGAATGCCACCACGGTGTCTATTGGTTATTGAAATAAAGCTACAAAGGGTAAACAAATTGTATTACTTCTCTACGCATGATACACTAAAACAGCTAAAGCAAGGGAGAACCAAAAGAAGGGGAGGGGAAATCAATTCAGAAACGTGTGTAGGAGACCCGATTTTAATTAAAAAGGAAATGGGAAATGGGAAAAAAGGAACAGGACATAATAAATGTAGAAAAGGCAGTGTCTCATAAAGTAGTTCTTCATCATGTACTTCTTGAATGGTCATGAAGGAGGGCCTCGTAAGTGACGTCGCAACATCTGCTATAAACCTAATGCTAGTATTTCTTTTTGTAGCCTAGGACTTGTTCGCGCGAGAAAAGGATGAGAGGGGTGCGTAAAGTGAAAAATAGAGGCTTGGGTAAAGGGCCAAAAAAAAGTAACGAGAAATGGTGAGTGAATGGCGAATACAGGGGCAGCCATTTAGAGATGGGAGAGATCAAGGATGACTAGATGTTCAGCTGTTGGTCTAGAGTGCTTGGGCCGCTGCGGCTCGGACAGGGGCGAAGTATGGGTGTGCCATTGCCTCTTGAGCAGTGAGACGGTCCTGAAGATAGATTAGCTGATCTTCCGAATTGAGGGATAAATAGAATAAGAAAGAATTGAACATATAACGACAAAACATACAGCATGGTCATATCTGAGCAATTTGTCCAGGAAATCTATAGCTTCAGAACTGACGAATCTCTGATTTTCGGCATTGACAAATGAATGCCAGCTCTTTTTGGGAAAACGCGAAAGGATTTCATCGTACTGAGGATCAAGCTCAATGTCGTACTTGTCGAGGTATTCAAATAGCTCATCTGTACCCAGGACTTTTGCAATTTTGACCAACTGATCTGAGTTGCTATTACCGTGGAAAAAGGGTTCCTTCCGAAATATCATTGAGGCAAACATAGCCCCCAACGACCACATGTCGAGTGAATAGTCGTATTCCTGGAAATCCACAAGGAGTTCTGGTCCCTTGAAATACCGCGATGCGACACGGACATTGTACTCCATTCCCTGATGGTAGAACTCAGCCAATCCCCAGTCTATAAGTCGGAGCTGTATTAGAATGAAATAGCAGTTAGCATTAAAGATTCAGACATCACTGAGAGGCGAGCGGGAGCGAAACCAAGCCATACTTTTCGACGTTCGTGATCTATCATGACGTTATGGGGCTTAACATCTCGATGCATTATGCCCTTACTATGGCAAAAGTCCAAAGCCTTCAGTAATTCAAAGATATAATACCTCACATCATAGTCGACAAATCGGGGGTAGAGCGTTCGAAAGTCGGTGTTGTTAACGTATTCGAAAACTAAGCTGGGGGTTTTGCTCTGGCTGTCACGGACGACATCTAATAGAGGTATAACATTGGGCCCACCGGACAGATTTTGTAGGATCTTGATCTCTCTCTTGATCTTCTTTTTCTTCACCGGCTTCAAGACTTTGATAACGCATTTCTGGTAATTAACCACGTTTATCCCTTCGAAAACTTCAGAGTATTTCCCGCGACCTAATGGATAAACAAATAACTAAAGTTAGTTTTTGCGCCGCAATATCTTGCTGGTTCGGAAGCATTTCCCTTACACCGCAGTCCATCGACTACAGACCGGGTCATGAGAAGGCCTTGTGTTCGTCAGCGATTCCTCTTCTTTGGGATGGACATACCGATTTTCCTTACAACCTCATAGTTTTCTAGCACACCCCAGGATATGTTCACGCTGTCATAATCCCAATATGATTTGGGCATTTGCTGATTCACATCCGCATAGACTCGCGCCATGATGCCGGTTTATCGGCTCTCTCCGGTGAAATATGACCCACAGACAAATGTTTTGCGAAAATTGCGAAAATGAGAGCAAGAGGATACAAAAAAAGCACACAGCGGGAGAGCGAAAGCAGTAGGCTGTACGGGAAGGAGGGCACAGGCGTCGCCCGGCGCTGCAGCTAAAAGAGAGGCAAGCGACAATATTAATCAATAAATGCACAGGAAGCAGCAAGATAGGATCATTTTGATAAACAAAGGCCGCTTCATGGCCCATGAAGGGTCACATGACAGCCAAGAAACCCCGCGAAACGCACGGACCAGGTGACTCCGGTTGGGTATTTTTTTGCTGTAGCTGGAGCTCTCTCTATGCATCATCTTAGATTTACATCTCTTTACGGGAAGTAATCGTTTAGGTCGACTGCGGCACAATAGCAGGGTCATTACTCTCTTTTTAAGCAATATCTTGATTTATAGCACAACTAGGAATAATGCTACTTGTACTCGTAGTGTAATGCAGTACTGTAATACAAACCTGAATCTAAACTCAACGCATCCTGACAAAAGTCCAGCCATGCGGAAACTCAGGCTTTCAGAATGGTCCATGGATCCAGTTTGGTCCTGTCAGTGAAAGCGGCATCGTCCAGTGATCATAGATATGTATTTTGGCAAGTTTATCCTTTCTTGTCCGCTGTTCCTTCTATCTTATCACGTGATTGGCATCATTGAAAATTCCATTTCCATTTCTCAAAAACATCATCCGATGACTAGATCGCGATAACAGGGAGTAGGGCGGGCTGGATGGCAATGCGCATATCATGTTCTATGATCTGAATATCTCCTACACGCCCAACGACCCTGAAATCTCTAACACTCTCCTGTTTCTTGCTGAACGTAGGTTAACCTCCCATTCCGCGTATTATCAATATACAGCACCCGCAATGCTAACTCCCGTCACCTTCTCGATACAGTCGGCTACACAACAGTAGCCCTCTCCCAATCTATCTCTGGCAAACTCCCCGCAGACCTCTCCCCCGCCCCTCTTCCCGCGAATGCCCCTAAATCCCTCACCCTCCTCTCCCGAATAACAGTCACCGTCTCCGACCCGGCCCAAAACCAGCGCCTCACCCCTCTCTCACAACATTTCTCCCTCATCGCCCTTCGACCCCTGAACGAAAAATGCCTCACCCTCGCCTGCAACAGTCTTGACTGCGACATTATCTCCCTCGACCTCTCTGCCCGCCTCCCCTTCCATTTCAAATTCAAAACCCTCGCCGCTGCCATCGCTCGTGGCATTCGGCTGGAGATCTGCTATGGCCCCGGCGTAACGGGTAGCGGCGCGGAGGCACGCAGGAATCTGATTGGTAATGCCGCATCGCTAATACGCGCGACGCGCGGGCGCGGGCTTATTATCTCGAGCGAGGCGAAGAGGGCGCTGGGGATCCGCGCACCTTTTGATGTGGTTAATTTGGCCTGTGTATGGGGGCTAACGCAGGAGAGGGGAAAGGAGGCGCTGTGCGATGAAGCGAGGAAGGTTGTGGCATTGGCGGGGATGAAGCGAAGGAGCTGGAGGGGGATTGTGGATGTTGTGTATGGAGGGGAGAAGCTGGTGAAGGAGGGGAAGGATACGAAAGATAAAAGCAGCAACAGGAATCAGAGTCGGGGGAATGGGAATGGAATTGGGGTGAAGAGGAAAGCCGATGCTGAGACTGAATCGAATACCGAGCCGCAGGCGCCGTTGTCAAAACGGGAATTGAAACGGAGGGCCAAGCGGGCAAAACTTCAGGGGTTGAGTGCCGATGATAACTCGACAGTAATTCCGATGCATGAGGGAGATAAACCATGATGGCTTGCTCGTGTTTTGTTTTCTCTTCTTTGCTTTCTTACTCCCTAGTGGAGTCTGGCGTCGTTTTTGTATGATACGGTATGGTAAACTACTGCATAGACTTGAAAAGGGTATCAAAAAGCATTTCCTGAAAGGGGATATAATAGTCTTACATATAGCAACTTACTAAATTGACGGCGCTCCGAAGCAAAGGTCGACGTGGAATAAGGCAGCAAACGGAAGGGATGCAGCATAAGAGCAAAATAACAGGAAGTAACATGGCACAAAACCACATCAGACATTCCACCCACCTTCCAAGTAGTGTATACAAAAGCAGCAGGGCACGACAACCGTTTTAAAGTGAAATATACATGTGATAGTAAGGAAGTAGAAGAGAAGAAAAGTACAAGCCCAGCTTGGTCATCCTGATGATATGGCATAGTGCATACAATGGGTTTCCTCTATATAACATCAACAGCCCCTCCCAAAACACCCTCCATCCTAACCCCCAAGTCTTAATGTTAGCACGCTATGGAGCTTGATGGTGCCGATATCAAAACTGTCTGCTGCTGCGGGATCATTCTCTGGTTGCGCTGTTTCCGCTGCCGCCGGTGTTGTCCCTGTTTGAGTGGAAGCCGTACTTGTTTCTGGTATAGTATTAGTTGTAGTAGCACTGACGCCCGTATTCTCTGTTACTTTCTTTGTGAAGTCTGCGTCTGTTATGGTTGCTGGATCTTCCGATGTTACGACAACATCCGCTGTGGCCGTCACTTTTGTTCCTGTTGGCTGTGGGATATCCGCCTCTGTGTCTGTTTGTTGGGTAGCACCTGCATTTGGCACTGGTGTCTCTGTCGACGCCGTACGCGCTGGTTCGTTTGTTGTTGCCAACTCAACTGCACTGGTGGCCGTGCTTTCACTTAGGGAGGGAGGTGTACCAACAGCGGTTATTGCACTGTCTTTCGATGGTTCCGGCAGAGCCACAGGGGGTACGGGAATTGCTGATGTGCTGGAAGAGTGAATGTCTAGAATGGTGGGAGACGTTGAAGAGGCAGTTGCTGTACCTTTGGCCGGTGGGGAGGAGGGAACTTCAGCTGCGGTGGTGGAAATTTGAAGCTCTGATACAGATGGGGAAACGACAGTGGCGAGTGTTGTTGGCAATGGTGCGCCTCCTATATCGACGGTTGACGCTAAATTCACTGCCGTGATGCCGAAAAAGTGAAAGGGGCAAAGGCACTGGCAATCGCAGGCGTCTGCAGGAATACTAGCCTGCTGCACTTGTGGAGTCGGAATCGCAAATGGCGCAGCTTGAGCTGGCGGGGGAGGCGACTGTGGTGTTGAGGGATTTCCCAAAGGCTCTCCTGCTGGCGGGACTGGTATTGGTGATGGAGTGTGTCCGGCAGGCTGTACTATAGCTGGGGTGGGAGGCTCGGATTGGAATGGTATGAGTGGCTGAGAGCCTGCAGGTGACTGTACTTGGGGAAATAGCAGTGTGTGTCCTTGTTCTTGTACATGAATGTTGGAGCCATCTCCCGGACCTATAACATTAATGACAATGTCACCCTCGTGGAAGGATACGCCGTTATGAATTGGAAGAGCTTCAACTGCTATGTGACCCTACGATTATCAGCTTCAGAACGATTCATTGAAGGGGTTCGCAAATACATTTGATGACCGAGCTTTTATTAAGCGCTTTGATTCAAGATTGTTTACCTAGAACAGAGTTAGAAGGAAAGCAAATGGCCCATTTGAGTTAATAATGATAATGCTACCTGTTGGGAGAATTTCTGGTCATATCTCGGGTCCGGAATTCTTGCGTTTGTTGTTGCCTTATGGTAAACCCCATTAGTTGCATTCCCGTCGTGAGGCTACATTGCAGAACATACTCCTGATATTCCGCCCAATACGAATAGAATGCAAGCGCCGGAGAGGTATCTTTTCATTTTCTGTTCGTGGGTTCGAAGAAGCCCGTACCCTCGCAGATGCTAGCTCCCGCTCCCACACACCGAACGATAGATCGTATATATGAATTCAAACGACAGTAGTCCACAGGTCAACCGGCATAGCAATTCAAGGACGACGGGATATTGAACGAGAGAATGACTGTTATCGTACTTTGTGGTGGAAGGCAATAGAGCGATTAAACGGAGAGGTTAATGAGCATGAAATCCAACAAAGACAAGAAATATGTGAGAAGTTCGAAAAGAGGACAATCATGGAAGAAAAGCTGATTTGGACGATCCACGCCAGGTTAACAAAATCATGGAGAGATGTCCTCCATTCAAAGGGGAACGAGGGGATTAAGCCAACTGCCCGCCCACTTCTTGAAGGCGGTGTTCCCTTTTCAACATGGCTTGTAGATTCGAAAATGGCCATGGCCATACACCAGCGGTATCATATTAGCCTAGATTTTCATGCTTTCGAACGAGAATATAATATTTGACCACCCAGTTACCCGTGCCCGTGTTGAGATATGGAGTAAATTCGCATTGAGGCTGGCGAAATCTCAAACAGTGGTTGTCTCAACTAAAAATCAGAAAGTGTGAAGATTTATGCTGCTTGATACAGCTCCAGCTACAAACAATATCAAGTTAACAGGTTCACATTTGTAACTCGTTTAAAGATTCGTCACGTTAAGCTACCGTAGATGAGATATATGTAATCTCTCACCGAATGAGAAGGTGATGCTCCTGCATGCACGAATGTTTGCAACAATCTCAAATCCTCCACAATTCATGCAATTAAATCCTTTTGTGAGCAAGCTGGGACATAAACCAGATTTAATTGGTAGCAAATGAGCGCTTTGGTTCATAGAAGAGTTCAGGGCTGGCTTTGGATAAAGCGAGGTTGGTTAGTGAGTCCGGCGGCTGAGGTCGAGTTTGTCGATCTCATCCCATTGCTAGGCCTGGAGGCCAACTTAGTAGCTTTTTTTGGGGGGGACTTATCTGAAGGGAGCCTAATCTGTATATTTTAGTTAGTTATGAAGAGAAGGATGTCAGAGCAATCCAGACTCTAGAGTTTCAAATGCGAAAACTGAAACCCTTGGTACCACAACCCCCGGGTACGAGTCCCCAGAGAGAGATAAGGCAACGTTGGCTGAATCTAATAATTCTCTCCCCTATTTTCGTGAAGCGATATGGCCATGAAGTTGTTAGATACATTCAAGTTGTTATGATAATATGCTGCAAGATTCCAAAGCAGGAAGCAAACGCGGTCCACGGGTAGCTAGCCGAATTTCGAGGAGTTTGCATTGTTTGCACATCAGCATCATTCTCGGAGAATCGACGAGCTAACCAAACAAAGGTTGAGAATTAGTATTTTGCCGAAAATGAAATATACCAGACCTCCGACGTTCTCTCAGAAAAAGGCCGACTTGCACAATCTCAGGGGCGGTATATCTGGGTACATACATATGCTCCACCTTTCCCAATGCTTAGAGAAGTGTATGTGTTCGTCCAATTGTTTGGTTCCTATCCACGCCAGACACTAGATTTCTCCCTTATTCCTACCGATCGAAAACGCCAAAGAAAATTGAAAAGAAAATATATAAATATACATTCAACAAAGCTAACTTAATTGCTTACAGAAAACCCAAAAACCCGCGCACTGCGCGTATTCTCAAGGCGCGGGAACCTCAACTCATCGAGCCGGTCAAGCGCACCCTACTACTACACGGGCCCAAATGTCCCCTACCCTTGAACACCGTCCTTAAAACATTCCATGCCCTCACGAAACCGCACTCAGTCCTCTTTGCTAAGAAAAACGAAAACATCCATCCTTTCGAGAATGTCGAAGGAATTGAGTTCCTTGCTGGGAAAAACGAATGCGGCATCGTTGTCTTCGGAAGCAGCAGTAAGAAACGGCCCAACTGCGTAACGCTAGTGCGTATTTATAATTCCAAGGTGCTAGATATGTGTGAGATGCTGTTGCTCGCTGGTCAAGGGCACCAAGGGAATGAAATGGGAAAGGAGGAGATGAAGAGCATGAAGTTGAATATTGGGGTTGGCATGAAGCCAATGATGCTATTTGCTGGCAGTGCGTGGGAGGACGCTACATCGCCTGTTTATGCGATGCTGAAGAGTATATTTTTGGATATGTTTAAAGGGGAGGAGACAGATAAGATTGATGTGGAAGGCTTACAGTATCTGCTCTCGATTGCCGCGGAGGAGCCTGTGGAAGGATCCCAGCCTGTTATTCATTTGAGGTGGTATAAGATTCGGACAAAAAAAAGTGGGCAAAAGCTTCCGCGTGTGGAGCTGGATGAAGTTGGGCCGAAATTTGATTTTAGAATTGGAAGGATGCGAGAGGCGGATCAGGACGTCATGAAAGAGGCTATGAAACAAGGAAAGAGGCCGAATGAGGACGCGAAGACGAAAAAGAATATCGGTATGGATGCTATTGGTGATAAGATTGGCCGGGTTCATCTTGGTCGCCAGGATCTTACTGGTTTGCAAACGAGGAAAATGAAAGGGCTGAAACGGAGAGCTGGTGTTGTTGCTGTTGATGGTGATGGTGATGATGATGTGGACCTTATGGATGTGGATGAGATGACTGATGACGATAATAGAAAAAAAGTGAAGGTGGGTTAACGCAAGGAATGGGGTTCGTGGATTTTCTTCATTTTTAAATAGGTGTTAGTATGGCGTTTTATATTTGGTCTGGCTGGTTTTGCAGCGGGATTTTTACAAGAATTGATGGATGTGAATGTAGCTTTTTGAAAAAAAAAATTATCTATATATATAGATATATATTTATTATTGAGGTAAATCCGAAGAAATGAATATAAATACGTAAGCCATTTCTCAAAGCGCCAATGCGCCCGGATGTGATATTGAAAAATATAGACTTAAAGATTCAGATCTGGAAAACAGGTCGAAACAAAAATATATCGGTTGGAACGAAGCTGTTGGGTGGCTGTTAAGGAACGGCTGGCGTTGGCATCGAATCAGAAACGGAGTTATCCCCATAAAACAAGCCATCAAGGCTTTCTGCCTCATTCCGCCCATCATCCGAAAGGTCTTCAGAAAGCTGTCCATTGCTCGCGTTGTTATTTTCTTGGGTAAAGCCAGTCTTCGTATGAGAAACGAGCTTCGAGCGCTTCGATCCAGATTTAGACGGGCTCAACAACCATGCATATATGACTTTTGTCTTACCCAAAAGTTCTGCTGCAGCTGGATCACCTTGAAGTCGCAATTTGTCCGTATCAGATAGTTCCGGAATGTTGTTCTTTTCTAGGGATCGGTTGCCTCGCTGGACGATGGTGCGTTTATATCCCATATCCTTCAAACGACGCGAAACCGATTGATAACTGCATTTTATATTGAACGTGTTTTGGATATGAACCTGCATTTCTTCAAGGCTAGCAAGAGGCCGAGCATTGACGAAATCTCGAAGACCCTATGTTACACATGTGATTATAAGGCCTGATTGATACGTTGTCGCACAATTGAGGGACAGAGTGCAGCCTACCTGTTGGCTTTCATCGGTGATTGCCTTTGGTCTCCCCATTGGCTTAGTTCTCGGAGGATGCGTAGTTCCCCATGTTCGCAGGCAGCTCGCAATGCCTCGAAGCCGTCGTTCCGATATACCGTGGGCGGCAGCAATATCCGGGTAAGGCTCCTGGCGAAACAGTGCCGCAGTCACAGCGCGCCTTTGTTCCTGGGTGAGCCGCTTCGGCATATCTATTAATGTTCGTCAATAGGACTGTATCGATCCGTGGTGGCAGTTGTCCAAGCACAGCTCCAAGCGCGGAAGTCACGTGCAGTGACGTTGTTGCGCGCTTGTCGGCAAAGGCCTTCACATGCCGAGGGCTGCGGGACAAGATCTCTGCCGCGATTCTTTGATTCTTCGTCCATCCGAACTTTGTTCATGAGTTTTCTTCAGACTGCTGAAAATATCAACCCCCTTACCGTCATTATACTGCCTTCGCACGTTCGGGATTGAAGCCATATTGACTTTCACGAGCGGCAAATGGTAGAAGCTGAAGGCCGAATTCCGCCACTCACTCGCCCAGCCTATGAGGTCGAGAGAATTGGGAGGAGACCATGGATTCTCTCATTGTGTGTGATTCTATTGCTAAATATCGCCGAATGTCATTGCATTAACCAGTTGCAATAGGAAAAACTTGATAAACTCGTCTTGGACGCTGACTTCGCGCCGTTCTTAGCTGTCCTTAAAGGCGCTCGGAATGGAGCCGTCTACGGTGCCAAGATACGATTTCCTCATGCTTTGGTGTAAGTCAATGGCCAGCGTTGTAATTCGGGATGTGTATTTGCTTCACATTATGGCAATTAACCAGATTCAAAGGCTAACTCTTACTTATAACTGTAGGATGATATTTCTTTTCCGTTCAGGAAGGTATTTAAAAACCTCCATATTCCCCAAACATGCACCTTAGCCTTCAATTATATACCCCTTCACTGCTATTATCCGGTTTATTCATATCGCATTGCACTGCCTAGTATACGAGAGAAAGCATGGCTGGTATTCAAAGCCACAAGACAACATGCACGGAACCTTTCATTATTTGCAACTATCTACAAATCCACCATGATCGCTCTTAAATATATAGGACCAAATGGTTGGGGTAAGGAAGGCCCATACGATACCTTTGTCGCCGGGCTCCTGGGGGGTTATCTCGTTTTTGGCAAATCGCGGGGGAGCGTCAGCAAACAGGTCAGCATTTTGCTCCAATCGATTAGCCACCTTAACAAAAGAGTCTCTGAAATTAACCTCACTTTAGATTGTGATATATATTTTCGCTCGTGTGATGCTTGCAATGGCGAAGATATCTGTTGAACCCGGAACACATAGGCTGTCGCATCTTATAACCCCAGAAGCCAGGGATAAAATATACGCCAATGCATGGCCAGCCTTTGCCAGCCTCAGCTGGGCGTTCGTCATGTACATATTCCGTTGGCACCCAGCAGCTATCCAGTCAAGCTTACGGAGTAGCATGACCTACATGTACGTCAATCGGTTTGATACATATATTTTATTCCATCTCCGAAAGCATACGAGCAGCTTGGCTAACCATGAACCAGCTATGCGGACTCGGATCACTGGGATTCGCTAAGGACTCTGTTAATACACAACAAATGAGAATTATAGAATGTGTGAATATCAATCGGGCTGCACTATAGAAAGGGTTTATATGTTGAATCGCTCGTTTCTATATTCACATAGAAAGCCCGTCAACAGCTCAGCGACCTAACGACTATATAGAGCAATTGGCCTTTCCAGGATCACCTGAAACCCGCTCCTTTATATATATCCCGCTGCGATCGGTGATGAGCAGCCTATCATCCATTGGATGTTGGAGGGATTACACTACCCTGAATCGTGAAATTCTTAAAGTTCGAGAGGGGGTTATTCATGGAAACCTTTTTTCTATATTTTCTGTATTTTTGGCCGTGTTGGTCACTTGGTTTTTCCGGGGGTTCTCTTTACTTCTTTGCTGTTTATTGATTATTGTATCATATACTGTGTCACGGATTAGAAAGCACTCCTTGACATCCCAGCCATTTATCAAAACCTATAATGAATTCTCTTGGCCCATGATCACTCCAAATCCTGGTATGGAGAACCTTCTTTTAGAAGTTTTAATGAAAGACGGGCCAATTAAATACTCTTACGCGGGGGAGAAAGGCCTAGATCTAACGTATCCCCTCTTTTGCGCTTCGCTTAATATCGAAAGGTTGCAACCCTTTGTCAAAAAAAATAATGATTGCCAATACCTATCGCTATCCCAGACAGCGATTCAACCCAGCCTGAAGCACAAACTTTTGAGCCTTGGTTTCAATCGGGTGTTCTCTTGGCGTGGGGAAGGCTGGCACACACTTGATATACGAGGGCTCTAGAGTTGACGTTCTCTTGACAAATCGATGAAGCTTGACAGTTTCCTTCTAGCAGGACTTTCTATTTCATACGCTCGCCCCGCTCCGTTCGTTCTTACCGTTCGCTCTAAACATCCGTAACTTGCTGTCGCCCTCTATTCCCATAAACCTCCACTCCCCGCATCCTTCTATACCTTCACCAATATCACGCAAACTCGTTTCAACATAGAAATGAAGGGAATCATCTGTGAGAAGGCTGGCGAGCCTTTCAAAATTGTTGACAATCTTGATGTCCCTGAGCCATCGTCTGACCAAATACTGGTCAAATCGATCTATATGGGCCTGAATCCAGTGTAAGTATTCGTCTCCTTAAAGGCCTGAATTTCCCACATGAAGCTTCCCACTTCCATTATATCTAGTCCATTGTACTTCTTCTATTACATTTCTATCTTTCTTTGGCCGCTTGCAATGATGTGTGGCGAAAGTGCCTGACTTAGTGCGCGAGAGAGAGAATCAGCGCGCCATTTTTATTTTTAATATTCGACTTTACTTTTAAGGTTCATATTATTGAATCCCCCCCCTTCTCTCTCTCTCTTTTTTTTTTTTTTTTTTTTTTTTTTTTTTTTTTTTTTTGAATGAAAGCCGAATTCTAGAGGTAGAGTGACGTAGACGATTTTCAACACAGCTCTAATAATTCCTATCTGTGTCTAGAGATGGAATGATGCAGTCATCAGGAGTGATCGTTCACGAATGGCCACTTTTCCTTGGAGTCGATGTGGCAGGCGTCGTGGTAAAAGTCGGCGAGAATGCCGCCTCAATGTTTAAAGTTGGCGATCATGTTTGTGGATGCACACGTGTAGGATATCCTGGATACAATAGTGGGCAGGAATATGTAAGTGTTGTGACCTCATTGCTGAGCTCAGCACCATGCCATGGATTGGCTAGGTTTTGATTCTGGAATGCCATCGTGAATTTTTCCCAGCTAATATAGGTGATATATTGCGCCTGCAATGTAGCTATTGATGGACGCCAAAATTACGATACCTAAGCCGAAGAACATTTCACTTGTCGAAGCTGCCACGATAGGTGTTGGTCTGGAGGTATGTAATTTCAGTTTGTTCCGCGATCAGGTGTCCTGAACGTAGGATATCATGTTATATAAACGAAAGCTCACTTCAAGAGCAGACTGCAGGCTTAGCATTATTCGACTGCCTTGACGTGAAATTGCCAAATTTGCAGGAAGTCCTTGAGGGGAAACATGCACCTCAGAAAACGGGCGAATGGGCTATTGTTCTAGGAGGGGCTAGCTCTGTGGGGAAATTTGCGATCCAGGCAGGCATTATCCCTCCCAGGCTGCTTTCTCTATTTATCCGATTGACATGCTAACGGGCCCCGTAGCTCTTTGGTATTTGTGGGTATAAAGTGATGGCATCGAGTTCCGCGTACTCGGTCCCTGTTCGTATGATCCTAGCCCATCTATAAATTTATGCGGCATCACCCTAAAGTAGTAACTTCACATTGTAGCTCGTTAAAAACCAAGGCGCAGAAGCCGTGTTTGACTATAAAATGTCAATAGCCGAGCAGGTCAACGAGGTCCTTTCTATCACCAAGGGCAAGGTTCATCGGGTCTTTGATGCTGCTGCATCGGGTGATGAGTTCGCGAAGGAGTTATATAGAAGGCTCCCTGAGGAAGGTCCAAAACTGTTCTGCTCGACAAATGCTTGGTAAGTTCATATCAATCAAACAAAGGGCTCCGTCAAAACTGTGAGGTTTTCACCTTTCTGTGGAAACTCTGAACTAATCCGGGTTAATAATAGGAGTGGGATAACCGACTTCGAAGGGGTCAAAACAAAAGTTGTTGAACTGGCAGTTATTGGAAGACCACATGCAGAACATACCAACAAGGTGCTCGCTGAGTATATTCCAGTATTTGTAGCACTGTTCGAACATGAGAACCAATTATTCCCTCCCCCGTATGATTTGGTGGGACAAGGGGGTTTTGAAGATGCACTTGAGGCCCACCAGTATCAGCAAAAGGGGGCCGGAAGATCAAATAAGGTGGTAGCCAAGATCCAGGACGAATAGGGGGAAGATAAAAACCATTTGCAGCGAGATTGGGTAATATCATGTTGAACTGTTTGAATTCTATACCAGTGTTTCCAGCAAATGCCAAACTCGGGAGTGGGTGCGATGGTGCGCGGTCATCGGCCGATGCATCCGATTATAACATTTGAAGCCGTCGGTTCCAATTAATTATTATTTGCTTCATTTTATTTGAATATAACATACCGTCTCCAGTATTGCTTGCTTTTTGAATAGGTCTCAAGAGAGAAGGTCTAAAAGCTAGAATCTCTTGGAGGCTGCTCTGGCCCGATGTGACCTTGGCATTAATTGCCAAGCTTCCCTTATCGATAAGAAGGCAGATGTCATTGCTTGCCACAGCTCAACTCCGTTATTTATCTGTCGATGCTTAAACCTCTATCTACAATTCAAGGGTAAACATCAATTATCCGTGTTATACATTTTACCAATATAATACGCACAATGCCTCCTCCGATTCTCCCCACTTCGAAATTAACAATTTCCACCTCCCCTCTCGCCCAATCCTCGTTTCAAGCTTTCGGCACCGCGATATCCAGCCCATTACCAGCAACCCTCACCCGCGCGCCTTCTGCCTCCTCCCTTCCCTCTCTGGCCAACGCTAATTCCAATTCATTCGATTTCTCTCCTCCCATCCTCGCCAACCAATCCACTGCGTTGAAATACAGCCCCATCTCCGTATTCCAGAATAGCTACAACCAATGCAAATGCCCTGAAACCCAAGGAAGCGGGAAGGACGCGGATCCACGCATGAGCATGTTCTCATGTTTCCCGCGGGCATTGAGGAGGCGGGGGGGCCAGGGGCGGAAGTTTGCTAGTGGATGCTTCGACGTTAAGATTCTGGAGCGACACCCGTATACTACGCAGACTTTTATTCCGCTTGGTGTGCCACCTGCTGTGAATAGAAAACGGCGAAATAATGGGAATAAATCGTTGTCTACGGGAGCTCGTGATGGCAACAACGATGGCGATGATGAAAATCCTAGCGCAAGTTACTTAGTGATCGTGGCGCCGTCGTTGCATGGCCAGACGGCACAGGCTACGGTTGTCAATGCTCAGGGTTGCAAGGAGCAGGTTCTCATTCGCGATCCGCCGGATATACGGAATATGAAAGCGTTCATTGCGCATGGTGGCCAAGCGGTGACGTATGGGACTGGCACGTGGCATGCGCCAATGGTGGTGGTGGGGAGGCGTCGGGTTGATTTCGTGGTGGTGCAGTTTATGAATGGGATTGCGGAGGATGATTGTGAGGAAGTCTCCTTTGAGGAGGGACTTGTTGTTGATGTGGATGTGGATGTGGATATTAGGGAGATGGAGGAGTACGAAGATGAGGTGGCTAAACTATGAGCGATAATTTAATTTGGTGTATGACCAGTAAATTTTCGGCTAGTCGGATTTCACATTGTTAACGCGGCTGAGTATCTCGGAGGCAATTGAATAATCATGACAATAACTTGAGATAGAAAGTGAGAGGTATAAAACGAGTATCACAAAAATCTATATATCACGAGCGCCCCTGAGTAGCTCTGTCACGAGCTGAGGCTGGCCCATTTGATTGAAGACTTCCACTATCGGACATTTTGCGCAATACATCCTTCGCAACGTCAATCGCAACATCCGGGAGACCTGCGAGTCGTGCGACTTTCAGAGCATGGGACTCGCGGTTTACGCCCCTTCTCAATTTGTGTACAAAAGAAAAGGACCCTGAGGAGTCCTCCTTTACGTCTGTGCAATACCGACCCAAATGTTCATATTGAGCGGTCATGTCCGCCAGTGCATGGAAGTGTGTGGCGAACAAAGTGCGGCACTGATTGATGTTATGGAGATGGTGCAGACATGCAAATCCCACTGCGGTTCCATCCTCTGGCGTCGTCCCCCGGCCAACTTCGTCCATGATCACGAAGGAACGTGTTGTAGCACTTTTCAAAATCGTCGCCGTTTCTAACATTTCCACCATAAATGTGGATTGATCTCGGAAGAGATCGTCAGCAGCACCAATGCGGCTGAATATCTGATCCACGACGCCAATCTCTGCGTATTCCGCTGGCACGAACGAACCCACCTGCGCAAGAATCGTAATGAGGGCATTCTGTCGCAAAAAGGTACTTTTACCGCCCATATTTGGGCCCGTTATGAGCCATATCCGTTCCTGTTCCCCAATGAAACAGTCATTGCTAACGAAAGGGCGCCCTTGTTCTTCAAGCCCAAGCTTAACTGTCGGATGTCTGCCACCCACTATTTTGTGGCACTTGCTGTTGTTGACGACGGGCCTCACCATCTGTTGTTCTTCAGCAAGGCGGGCGAATGAACATGCAACATCGAGTTCGTCCAAGACGGCGGCATTTCGGCGTAGCTTCACAAGATTCAAAATCACTGCTTGACGTAACTCTTCGAAGATGCGCTGTTCTTCAGATAGTATGTGGAATTTTGCATCATCTATTCTGGCTCCCAACTGTGACCAGGAACTTAGATAAAAGGAACGTGTCGATTTTGAGGAAGAGACAGTTCGCGTTGCTCCCAACGCTTCGACTGACTGTTGAGATGCCTTTACTCCCTTCATGTGGACAATATGGCCAAGCCCAGGTGTCCACTTGAGATTAAGGTTATCGGTTCCAGCTGCCTCACGCAACTTCTTTGTTAGTTCGGACTTTTCCACTGCAAGGAGATCAAGAGCATCATGCAACTTCCGCAAATTCCTACTTGCATCACGGCGCATGATCCATGTGGTTTTATTTACCTCCTCGGTGCAGTTCGATTCCTTCTGCCTACCACTTCGTTGTCCTCTGGCATGCTTAGGTATAGCTGCTAGGTCTTCTGAAGACCCTTCGTTCAAAATCACTTCTTGAGCGAGAGCTGCAGCATCTGTAGCAGCATCATCTTCGATTCTTTGTTTTTGCAAGAGCCCCTCTTCGTCTATTGCGGCGAGTATACTTTGTGAAAGGGCCTCGGGACCATCGAAATTTAGACGATCGAGCATGGAGTGCAAACTGCTTGTCACATTATGGCTGGATTCCCGATCGGAACATTGATCAGAAGACATATTGATATTACGGAGCAAAACGGATTTTATTTCTTGCGACGCTTGGATTGATTTCGAGAGACAAATGAGGTCGTCTGGATCCCCCCTGCCCAATGAAAATTTTTGAACTAGCCGTTGAGCGTCGAAACTGCGTTTAAGGAGGAGAATTACATTTTGGCGCAGGTCTTCATCATCAAGGAACTTGGAAACCAAATTAAGTCGCTCATTGATAACATGTAACGAAGCGGAAGGCGAAGCTGGAAAGCCTTATTAGCTTATCAGGAAACCTAACCAGGAGGGACAAAAGATCCATACTCAGCCTGTCCCTGAGCAGTCGAGCTCCACTTTTAGTGGAAGTACGCCGCACAGCATGAAGAAGACTCCCTTTTCCAAGCCCGTCTCGAGCAGTTTCTAAAATCTCAAGCCCTCTTAGGCTATTACGGTCAATAGACATGGACTCATCTAGATGCTTGCGGCGTGGCGCTTGAAGTTTCATCTTCACTCCCTGCGTTTGAACTTGGACATATTCCAGCAATATATTACAAGCCGCTGTTTCTTCCGCAGTGAACGTGGAAGCCACCTCAAGAGGTATTGACGACTCAAAAATGGAACCCCACTCTGATAAAGTCCTCATCTCACTTGGACAACGAAACGAAGTTATCAGATGCTGCTTATCTTGTCCGACAACAGCTTGTAGTTCTTGTCTAATTTTTGCTCCAACATTCTGATCTATCACTATCTCCCTGGCACTGATCCTGGCTAGGGCAGAGGGTAGCATTTGCGCAGTGGTCTGCTGGGTAAAGAAGTCACCCGTTGATAAGTCTAGCCAAGAGAGGCCAATGGGTTGCGAAGATGAAATAGAAGAATGCTGTTCCGGTGACACTATTTCCGTATCTTCTGAGCGAACTATGGCTAGATATATTGAGAGTAGAAAGTTATTCTCGTAAGGATCCATAAATTTCTCGTCTATCAATGTTCCTGGTGTAACGATTCTAGCGACTTTACGGTCGAATTGCAATCCCCCGGACTTCGCTTTACCAACAACATCGTTGGCAAATTCCTCACTAATGGCAACGTATTTGTTAAAGTCCTGGACGAGTATTTTAAGAAAACGATCCAGTTGGAAAAAGGGAAATCCAGCCATTGGCACAGCTCCCGCGCTTGTTTTCTTTTGGGCGAGTTTCAAATTCAGCAGCGTAGCGTATTCCTCGGCTTGTTCAAAATAGAGCTGTAATAAGAGAGTACAAATCACTACTAGTTCTTCAACAGGTCAGAGAAATAGGCATACATACCTCGTAAAAGTTCCCTACTCTCGTAAGTAGTACACAGTTTTTAAACTTTAGCATATTGTTTTTGGCCCCCTGTATCACCGTTGGATACTGAGGAGCATCGTCAACGGAAAGAGGATATGGCTCCATTGGTTCTAAGCGTCCTTGTGGAAGATCTTGAAGTTTGACTGTAGATTTTCGCTTTGCGCCGCGATTGAGCTCCAGGGGAAGCCATCCCCGGCGCAAAAATGGACGCTGGGAAGCATTTCGGACAGGGGTACAACATGAGTGAATTGGCAATAGAGGGCGTCTCAACTGTCGTCCAATGTTAATTGGCATTATCTACCATATCCAAATTGTCGTTGCTGCATCATCTCCCCTCGCGTTTTCTTTAGAGCGTTGCCGCGTCGTGGGTGTCTAAAGCTCACTAGTCCCTTTTTGGCCTTAAGCAGCGACCAGCATCAAAGCTTCACGGTTCGACAGATTTTCGACTCTTTAACCGCTCTCTACGGCATTCAACATCTGCGAATCGAGCATTCTCGAGCCTGAACTTCGCATCCTATTCTAAAAGATGCGGCCTGATTCCTGAATTATCGTTATTCCGGTTTCTGTCTGCAGGCATTCGCAGACTTTTACGGCATATTTCATAAAGCTACGGTTTTCCGGCGAGAAAAGAACATATCTGAATAATAACCCAGTACAGCGGTCAAGATGGCGGATCCAAATAATGTCTCGCAGTACAAATATTCGGCGATGTCCAACCTGGTTCTCCAGGCGGACCGTCGTTTTGTAACTCGCCGGACAGATGAGGTTACTGGCGATCCGGAGTCTCTTGCGGGTCGCATTAATATCAAGGATATGGGCACGCGAGCCTCAGGTGCGGATGCTACAAAAATCAAGAAAGCCCCAGTTACCCCAAAGAATGTCGAACGAGGCGCAATTAGAGAAGGCGAAGATGTGTTGCGGCGGGAACAGCGAAAACGAAAGCGAGAGGAGCAAACACAGTTGAGGGGCGTGGGTATTTTGTCAGCAGCGGATGCGCTCATCGAAGGCCTAAAATATCGACCGAGGACTCCTGCGACAAGAGCAACTTATGATTTGATCCTTACCATGACTGTAAATCACCTAGGAGACGTGTCTCACGAAGTCATTCGAAGTGCAGCAGATGCTGTACTGGAACTCTTGAAAGATGAAAATATGAAAGACTTTGATAAGAAAAAGGAGATTGATGATCTACTTGGAAGCTCTATGGGAGCGAAGGAGTTCAATGAGCTGGTCAATCTAGGGAAAAAAATTACAGATTACGATGCGCAAGATGAAAATGAAAATATGGAGGGCGGTGCAGATGGTGTCCAGGATGGAGAAGAGTTGGATGAGAGGCAGGGTGTAGCCGTGGTTTTCGATGAATCGGACGAAGACGAAGATAATATGGCTCGCGAGGTTCGAGATGCTGATGAGCCATCCGATGAGGACATGTCTGATGAAGAGGATCAACCCGGTTTAGAGGAGGTTGCAACCGCTGGCGGTTCCGTAGCCGAAAGGGACGAGGCGGGAACACCGGGCGAAGAAATAATAATCGATGGCGCTGTGGAAGCATCTCGTGATGACAAAACTAAAGATAGCGCCAATCTCGTCCCAGTCCGCGAAATCGATGCATATTGGCTCCAGCGAGAGATTGGATCAATTTATAGTGACGCGCACATACAACAAGAAAAGACTCAGGAGGCCTTGCGGATGATGGACGAAAAATCAGAGGACGGCAATGAAAAACAACTTCGTGATGTCGAAAATGACCTGATGGAACTTTTTGATTACGATTACCCGGATCTAGTGGGAAAGCTCATTACGAACCGGGATAGAGTTGTCTGGGTGACCAAATGGAGACGGGCGGCGGAGGATGCGGATGCCAAAGCCGTAATTGAAAAGGAAATGATTGAGGCTGGTCATCGCGATATTTTGGATGAACTGCATGGCAAGGCACCTCGAGATGCTGCAGCTGATCGACCGGGGAAAAAGATGAAGTTGACTTAATGGACATTGATATTCCAGGGTCCAAACCAGACGAAGCTGATCCAAGCCAAAGATGGTGTTCAAGGGGTGGACTTCAGCCCAGAAACTCATCAATCTCGACATCTCGTGTTTGATCAGAAATCACCTATGACTACCCAAATGTCAAATTGCCACAGTCAACAAACGACTTTAAAGATTGAGAATCACGTCCACTCTACAGAGATCAGTGAGGTCTATCCATTCGATCTCGATGGCCGGCGTTAGACCCAAGCCACCC